TAGTGTTAGTGTTAGTGTTAGTGTTAGTGTGTGTGTGTGTTAGTGTTAGTGTGTGTGTGTGTGTGTGTTAGTGTGTGTGTGTGTGTGTGTTAGTGTGTGTGTGTGTGTGTGTTAGTGTTAGTGTGTGTGTGTGTGTGCGTTAGTGTGTGTGTGTGTTGGTGTTTGTATTTGTGTTATTGTCTGTGTGTGTGTGTGTTGGTGTATGTGTGTGTGTGTGTGTTGTGTGTGTGTGTGTGTTGGTGTGTGTTGGTGTGTGTTGGTGTGTGTGTGTGTTGGTGTGTGTTGGTGACCGTGTCCTGTTCCTCATGGATGTTCGCATCATCCACAAATCCGTTGAAACCAGCAGGGTTCTCCTGAAAGAGAAGGTCAGGGATGGACAAGTGCGGAACTTCGAAACTGCAAAGCGAAGCGAAGCATCTAGAAGCATCTAAGCGAAGGCATCTCTCAGTCCAAGGTGCCACGAAGAAGACCGAGAACCTGCTCCTGTGGAGAGCTGCACTGCGAGGCTCCGAGCAGCTGAAGTGTTTCATTGGGTGTTGCGGCCGCTACGGTTCTGCGGCTCGGCTGGGAACCTGTCTTTCCCTCTCAGTTTCTTGTCCGAGCGCGCTGTCTGCTGGCAAGCTTTGCAGGGCTAGCTCCCCGGTAAAACGAGAGAGGCTTTACAGCGCTTCGCCATCACCTCAGTTGAAGAAGTAGCTGGAGAAGAGCACCTTGGGTCAGGAGCCAGGAGTGCAAGAGAGCGGCAACCGTCGCATGCAGCATCATCCCGTCATGGTCACATCAGGTTGGCCCCTGCCATTCGTGGGGCCCGTGCCGAGAGGATGCAAATCAGCAGCAAGCCCCAGTAGAGGGAGGTTCGGTTCAGCTCGACCTGCCATGCACTTAGGGGTGCTGGGCGGATGGAAGTGGGATGGAAGTGGGATGGAAGTGGGATGGAACTGGGATGGAAGTGGTGCGAACGGGCGTGAAGACGTGCCGGAAGCTGCGGGCAGCATGGCATCGTTGGGGCGAGGCTCCGGCAGGGCCTGGCGCATGGAGCCATGCACTGCTTCACTGCTTGTTGCACGAAGATACAAAAGGCTCCCTTCCCTCTGACGTGTCCGCCTTCAGCACCACTGGCGACTCCACTGCCGTGAGCTCGATGCTGCTGCCAGCAAAGGCACCTGCCTGGGAGCCGGGCATCTGCAGAGAGAGACGACTCAGAGCAGAGCTCCCACAAAGCCCCTGCCCCCCCGCCAAAGCTCCCGCCTGGCCGCGCAGGGCAGGGGCCTGAGCCACGAAGACCTGACAGGTTTGGCTCTAACCTCAACCATTCCTCAACATTCCTCAACCATCTTGAACACTGAACATCACTGAACTCAACATGAAAAATTCTGAAGTCGCAAAGAGTGAGAATGGGCAACCTGAGCACGGCACGGCCTCCTCCGGGCCGCTGGAGGAGAACAGCCAAAGGCATGCCTGCCACATGGACCACCAAGGCTCCAAGCGGCCGAGCAAATTTCTTCAAGTCTCGCCCCAGGCGCCGCCACGGCAAGGACGAACAGCACCGGGCGTCGCGCGGCCATCACGTCGGCTGGGGCCTCAGGGGCACCGCCAAACAGGGCTCTTGACAGATGGTCGAATCCAGACGGAGAAGGCATTCGAAAGCTCGGCTGCGCTCTACAAATATAGCATATAAGTCTGCAATATACGCTTAACTCTGACGTGTTTTTCCTGCTTGTTGATGCCTGCATGTACTGCGGATAGGACGGTACAATTCGAGCATCAACCACAAGCCTATTATTTGAATCGCGCAACTGTTGTCATGTCAATGACACTCTCACCAATAGCTCGTCAAAGTGTGATGCGCCTGCCGTTGCAAGAAAAGAATACTGCTGGAAGCGGCTCTATTCGAGGCACATCCCTCGCACAACTCCGTGTGAACCCTGGCAATCAGATGTAATAGCTTCAATCAAACAAGCCCCAGACTCCAGGTGTAAAGGAGGGCGAACGTCGAACGCAGCTATGAGCCAAACAGCAGACTGGGCACGTAGTCGTCTGATCTGCCTGGCCCTGCCTACCAGAGACCAGCAAACTGACGTAGTGAGCGAAGTGCAAACCAGCGCAACGGAATCCCCTCATGATCGTCGCATGATGCGCAATTCAAGCCAGTGTGATGCGCGTCCTCTTCGGATGTGCAGGCTCCAGCCACAAGCTCGCCATGGCCGCCGCTTTCGAGCAAATCTCCGGTACGGACAAGGACAGCCCAAAGAGGCGATGCACCTGAGCTCTCATCGTCCATCTTTCTAACTCAAACTCCAGCAACACTGTTGACAAACTTCGGCTCTCCCCGGCCTTCCACTGGAGAAGTCGTGCCCTTGGCTCGGCTTGACCTTCATAGAGCCTGGAACTCAAGAGACTCAAGAGACTCAAGAGTGACGGAAGCTGCCTCGTTGCCTAGCTTCATCAGGAACGGCCATTTGTCTCCGCGAAAGAGCAAAGGCGCTGCGTGGGCACGAAAATCTGCAACAGCTGTGCTGAATTGCATGCAGCACGACCTCATACTACCTCTCAGCCATCTGAACTTGGCCACTTAGCAGAGGGTAGTATGCGGCCACTGCCCCGAACACGAGCATGCAGAGGGCAGCGGCAAACATTAAATAGGCAAAGATCAGGGCATCCAGGCCGAGCACCTTGCGCCCGCGGTTTGTGTCGGCATCTAATCCGATGGAGACCTTCCCCTCGATGCCCACCGCTCGGCGCTTCGGCGAGCTCGAATTCGGCCTCTGCTCCCCCTCTTCCCCCTGGCTCTGATCTTGCAACTCCTTGAAGACCTGCTCGGGCTTCTGGATGATCACAGGATCGGCGGTGCCTGAGATGCAACACACAATTCCACTGCATTGGGTGGGAACAACTCTCTCTCTCTCTGTCTTTCTCTCTTCGTCTGAGGCCTGGGCCGAAGGCCTTTCCGAAGGCGATGCGAGTCCTTGCACAAGGCACTTGTGGATTTTGTGAGGTACTTCAGAGTAGAGCTCTGTAAAGGTTCACACAGTACCATGTGCAGTCTCCACGCTATCCCCGCAGTCCAGAACTGATAGGACATGTATCCAAAGAGGGCGATGCCGGCCAGGGCGATGATGGAGTTCAGGATCATGTCCTCCTGCCTGACTGCTGGCAAGGCCTCAATCACCTCAGAGCGCTTCTTGGGGCCCGAAGAAGAGAAACTCTGGAGACTTCCTTCTTCCATGCTCACGAACCCTTGGCACTGCCCTCGTGCATATACGTGCATAAAACACGTGCTCAAGCACCTTGGCACCCTCGCCGCTCAGCAGCATCTCCTCCCTGGAGACCTGCAGAGCCTTTGAAGGCCTCTGGCTTGGCTTTGGCCATGGCCTGCGCTCAAGCAAATGCAGCAAACGCAATAGGACTCAGCAGGGACTCAGTATAGGGCCTGAGACAGGGACTCAGAAGGGCCTGAGAAAGGGACTCAGAGGAGGGACTCAGAAGGGACCTAGGACTTGGCTGCATGGCCTTCCCAGCACGAAGCAACGCTTCAGCGGCCCCAGCGGTGCCAGCGGCCGCAGCCGCACGATCAGTAGCAGCAAGACGGCCAACGGCTGCAAACGGCACAGCGATGGCAGGCTGCGGCGGCAGCGTCCCCGACCATCCAACATGGGAAGAGCGGGGGGAGAACAGGAAAACCGAGAGCGTCTTGGTAAGGGTGTGGCGGATGTGGGTTGAGGGCTTCTCATAACTTCTAGGTCTTTGAAGCACTATCTGGCACATCTGCTGTTTGTCTAGCACAAAGGCAAGGCAAAGCGAAGAAGGAAGATGCAGAAATGTCAGGCAACCCTGCCACCAAAGCATGCCCAAACTAAACATGCCAGCTGCTCGCGGCAACCGCTCCTGCACTCCCGACATGACAACAGTTCAAGGAGAGGTGTGTTGAGTGAGAGCTGCAACTCTCAGAGATTACCCCTCTGTGAGGCACTGTCCTGTCAGCTCTGCACTGTGTGGCACTGCCGTCATGTTTTGTGCGATGCGGAGACACGGCCGTCGACACAAAATGTGTGCTGTCACACGTTGCAAGCAAGCAGTGCAGCATGGTGCCGTATGCTGACGAACCATTAGAAATCACAACTGCTTGCATGAAGCCGATAAGTACATTAGGTACAATCCAATGCGTTCTGCCTTCAGTGTCTTGGCCATGCCTACTTCTGCACTGCACATACTGAGCCCGACAATTTGGCGTTGAGAGTTGTGCGATGCTATCCAGCGCCATGACAGGTTACGGTGCCCGAGTCACAGAAGGAGAGCATTGACTGAGAAGGGCCTACTGGTAGCTGATTGCAGTTGTAAGGAAGGGGAAGTAACGGATGACCAAGGAAGCGATGCCCACTGGTTACGAATTCTTGTTCGGAATCCAGTATCTCCAAGTGCGGCTGTCTCGGCTCTGCAAGGGGAATGCAGACCATCAGGACGCTCACATAAGCAAAAGCTCTGAGCGCAAACAAATGTCGAATCGACATGTGTGGCCATCACTTGTGGAACTTGAAACTTCTGGCCGGACAACTGTGAAACAGAGACCACGACATACACATAGACCCGTTTGCGGTACAAATATGCACAACAATATACACCTGCCGCACATACACATGCTTCCTTAAATATATCTGTGCACCTAGACGCATCTAGACGCAAAAATGGACGCCGTGCGCCGGCGTCGATAATTAACTGCATGGCACCGTCCCCGTCAAGGATCAAAGGAGACCTGGCATCGCGGCGTCGGGTCACTAGACAACCTATGTGTGTTCACTTAACAACACATCATGGGTATCTTGTGAATAGCATCAAGATTTTGTGGGAGGCGACAGGATAGCATCGGACATGGTACGATATAGGATACGATGTCGTAGATTGAACAGCCAAATCACTGGGCCACCGAGCCCAGAGGGTGGCGGACCCCTTCAGCTGCCCCATCGCCTTGGCATCCTCAACACGAGCCCCCGCCCCCCCCCCCCCCCCCCCCAAAAAAAAAAAAAACAAGTCCCTTCAAAGACGACTCCCAGCGTTGCCTGGCCGGGAAGAGACTGGAGGCCGTGCGCGTTCACCTGCTGTGCAATGCCCTCTGCCCTCTGTACTGCTGATCTCAGGTCGGGTGCCCTACCTCCTTGAGCTTGCCAGAACGTATCTCCGACAGCGAGAAGGCTGCATGGGCCACAAGGTCATCGCTTCTCAGCCTCCAAGGGTTTTCCCCAAGCCCGCAGCGCTTTCGCGTGCACTCACGAAAGCGCATCGAGGCGCCAAGGTCTGCGCGAGTCGTAGTCCCAAAGTAGGACGTGGACCCACAACTCCTCAAGGCTTCGCCCAGCCCATTCTACAGCACATGCGACAGCACTCGAAGCAATGGAAGCAAAGGCAAAACTCGAGCCTCTTCTGGCACACCTCACAAACGACTCACAAACTGCAAAAGCTCAATACTGGTCCAAAGAGACTCAGGAAGGGCTTTGGCGGCAACAGGAATGGAGATGAAGCTAAAAGCAGAAGCTGGGAGCAACAGCAGCCGGCCTTCAAACTTCTTGGGAAAGGCAAGTGCAATCGACTCGTTCCAGTAGGGGTTCGGGTCCTGTCAGGACCCCGTGTCGCTCCCTAGCACATGTCTCGAGGCGCCGTGCGTCCTCCAGAATTGTGCCGGACTTGGCAAATCTGCGGATGGCTGCCTGGTTCGCGGCAAAGACACCAAGGTCGCGTGCTGGCGCCCGAGACGAAATGTAGTTGGGACTTCTTGGGTGTGCAACACTCACCCGCCTGTCTGTCCTTGTTCCGGATTCGCATGACCCTTTGCTCAACCTGCCATTGAAGCACGGGCTGTTGCCACCAGACACGACGACGATCTACAAATGCGCGTGATTCGCATAGGCGCTCTCCTACAGCCTGAAAGCCTTTGGCCGCAAGATCTGATGGTCTTTCTGCAAATGCTTGGGGTCCCGGCCCCCGGCTCTTGCTGCAGCGGGTTTCCGCCTCGGTTGGTTTCGACGAAGACCCCGCAGAATAAGAAAGTCGCTTAGAAACTCTGCAAGAGTCTTTTGAATCTCTTCTCATCTCGTTTCTGGGCGCAGGACGCACGATGCTGAAGGTGACGTAGGGGTCGATTACTTTCCGCTTCTGAGGTGGCTCTCATGGTACCAACATGTCGCAACGTGCGGGAACTGCCGCCGATTATACATCCAAGGCCATGGCGGACGCACTCGGCAAGTTGGTCGCCTGCTCCAGAATTTTCACCCTCTGTGAACGTGGCTACAACAGTACGGGAGGCAGAGGAGCACGCCGGGGAGCACTTGCGAGATGTTCAACGGAACATTGAAGCAGGGAGGGCAAGTCCGAAAAGCTGGAGAATCCATCACAGTGACAGGTGGCGCGAAGGCCTTGACCAAGTTGCACATTACTGCACCCTTTGCGTAGGCAGCCTGGACCAGGTATCACGGCAACACGTCCGCAAGCCACTTCGAGGGCTGTTGGTCCATGGCACGTTTGGGGGCTTGAATGGGTGCGGCATTGGTATATTCAATCAAACACCACTCGGGCCAAAGGCCAAACAAGGGGGGGTGTGGTGCCGTAGACGCTTCTCAGGCGCAGGTCTGGCCTGCATCAGAGCCTTGGACTGCATCTTCTGCCGTGTGGAGGCCAGCACCTCCCCACTCTTCCGCTCCCACAGTGCCAATGTAGTACTGTACCAAACAAGCTCCGCCACTTCTGTCTGCGCAGTCTGCACGGGGCCGCGGCCCTCCGTAGCCCGGCATCTGGGCCCTCCAGCATCATGCCAATGTAGTGCGCGACCTGGCCGGTGCTGATCTCGGGAGTTTGGGATTCCTGGACGTTGGGATTCGGGTTAGCCCGTCGGGGGATGTGAGCTTGAGTATCTGAGTATACGTACGCAACACACCGTGTGTACAACTACATGGCACAGTGGGGATCCTCTACCTTTGATTCGTTCCAGCACCTTCCGTCAACGCACTTCAACCCATAAAGAAGCTTCAGGCTGCCTGAGTCACGAATTCCACATCCTCGCTGGTGAAGGTCGTACCTTGCACTGGTGTCCAAGTCGGTCCAATGCCCCCCAATGCCCCCCAATGCCCCCCCCCCCCCTCTTCCCGGAGCTCTGAAGACTAAGACCGCCCGTCAAGGGCCGGGCTGCCCTGCTTGTTGACGCATCGGATGGCCCCTGGGACAGGAGAGCGACTCCGTGTTTTTGAAGCTTGAGACACCTCTGGCAGCATTTGGGGCACCTGCACAGTAGCGCAACCAGAACCCACAAGCCGCCCGGCCTAGGCATTTCCTCGAGGTGTCGAAGAGCGGCACCACCAGTTCGGAGCCTCTCCGAAAAGAACCCAGAACATGGTCTCGACATCTCCAGAACAGAGATGCAGGAGTCAAGGAGTCGAGACGCCAAGAGTGAGGAAAAGAGACGAGGGGAAACCCCGGAGTATTCCAGACTGTTCTGCAGTGCACTTGGCAATACCTGGGGGAGGTCGCTCCTGATGCTGCGTCGCCGGAGCCAGCAGGCAAGTTCATGACGTGGCCAACTTGGACAGCCTTCGGGTCTCAAGCCAACTCGGCTGATAAGCACGCTGCCGCACGCAAAACCTAACAAAGCATATATCCATTGCATTCCATGCACTAAAGCACAGCATGCCACACGTTGACTCGAATACCCAGCTACCGTGGTTCAACCGGTTCCGCCCCCACCTCTCCCGCTGCACCAGTGCCTCAGCCGCTCACATCGACATATCCGCAAAAGGCGGGGTTGCGGGGCCCCCCGCAATATTGCGCTCTCGCAATATTCTCGCAACGTGTCTACTGTCTCATGGGTGCCCTCTTCTCTAAGCCACTGTCCCACTGGCGTTGTGTGGTGCAGCAGCGGTCCATCTATAACCTTCATTCGGAACAAGAGATGGGAGACAAACCCTCAAGATGCCTCTGCACAAGCTGCCCTTAGGACCCGAACCTCAGAGAAGAGCTCTTGTGACCTTCAGCAAGAATAAGCAAGGTCTTTCAGTCTTTGGCCTGAATGCCAAATCGGAATGGCAGGCCGAGTTCGCGGCTGCCGATCCAGCAGCATCAGCACGGTGGCCTCCCAAGCCACCGAACGCATCCCAGTGCATCGCCGTCCGCGTCTTGCCCCTTTCTTCGGCCACTGGTCCCGTTCTCTTGCCTCGGCCCCAAGGACCGTCCGGATGCCCTCCAGCGCCGGGACGAAGAGCGTTGCCTCGGCGAAATGTGTTCAGAAAAGTCAACAAGTTCTTTTTGAGGCCAGTGATGAAGCACGCGTTCACAGGTTTGCTGCGCACCATGCGCTGTGAGGCAGCCGAGGTGAACTCAGGCGAACCTGCAAGCACGTTCTGGTACGCAAAGCTACGGCAGAAAGGCATGGTTTGGGCAATGCCCCCTGCCCAAACCATGGCCCCCCCCGCCCCCCAGTTGCTGTGCTCGGCCGAAGTGTTTCATGGTTAGGCTGGAAATCAAGAATTATCTGCACGGCCGCGCTCGGCGTCTCGTAAGGTTGAGGTTTTTCAACATGCCTCGGAGGAGATGCTCCGAAAAGGAAGGTTGGGTAGCTCACTGAGACTTTTCTGGACACTCCCCTAAGCTTATGCTCCTGAGGAAAGAAAATGCACCCGACACATCCCTGCATGTGAGCCTGTTGTTTGCATGGACTTCTCGCACTGCTCGATGACCTGCACGGCAGCCAAACATTACTGGCAGTACTTCATTCCCGAGGAAACCTTGCGACTGACACTCAATTCACACATCTGGTTGTGCAGTCGGAACTAAACAATAAGACACAATCTATTTCTGCTGACCCAACACGTGAGCAAGAAGACATCTCTGATACAAGCATATAAAATAAGAATAGCGTTTGCTTGTTCTCGCTTGGTTTGAGGGATGAATGCAGCTAAAGTAAACAAGATTTGGCAAACGATACACTACAAAATGAAGATTGAAGTCACCAGGCTCCATCTCGGGCCTCGACCCTACCTCATGCCGTGTTCCCTGATCCTGATCCACGAGCGGGTGCCCATCTTCAGCCTCCTTAAAGGTCTGCTTGTCGTTGATGAGAGCCACGGACACATGGGAACCTCGGTGGAGGGCGTCGTCCCTGCTCTGAGCAGGCACCGGTACTCGTTGTGGCCAAAGCGGCAGATCGCTGACAGGAGGTCTTCATCCTTCTGTGTAAAGGCGCCATGGTTGCTTTTCCTTGCACAACAGCCCGAAACCCGCAGAGCAGTCAGATCAGTCAGAGCAGTCAGAGCAGTCAGAGCAGCGCGACACACGTCACACTAAGCAGGATGCTTATTGACAACTGACACGACGCCGTGGACTTCGCCGCCCTTGAAGATGGGCATGCCTCGTAGCATCTGGAAGCACAGCACAAAAAGCGCAGCCAGGATGCCCAAGAAAAGTTGACAGAAGAATTGAGCTCCGAACAAAGAATGCTTTGCACAGCGATGCCAGTGTTCAAGAAATTGTCGTGGATTTCAGGCTTGTACTGCGCTTCATCCTGGGGCAACGAGACATGAAAGACCACCTCTTGGACTTTGGCATGAACAGCCCTGGGGCCTTGATGTCTGCCACGTTGACGAGGTTGCCCGTGCTGACCACATGCCCTGCACGACGCAAGAAGCTCAGGCAGCCTCTAGACAAAAATTGTGAACGTGTTGATTCTTTAGCCAATGTTGTAGTCACACCCGACCAGCGCCTATGAATCCTTCGTCAACCTTCCAGTGGAAGTGCTCTGGAAGGTTGGGCGTGTGGTGCGATGCGATGAGCTCATCACGTTCCTGGCGAAGTCATGAAGGGAGTTCAGGCCCGCGGCGGAGTTTGAGGGCCAATTCAGTGCTATTCAAAAGGCCTGCGGTCAGCTGCCCGAGGCCGCCACTTTGTTGAGAAGGAGCAAGGACACGGCCTCAGCCTGAAGAACTTCCTGCACCTGCACGAAGATGCGCCAAAGGACGGCTTTGTAGGAGGCTGTAGAGATGCAAAGCCTATGCACACCATGTACACCTGGCCTTGCTGACCACGATCGCGAAGGCCTCCTCCCGCTCCTTCAAGAGGGCCCCAGAAAACTGCGAGTACATTTAGGGGTACCCCTTAGAAAGGGACCAGAATTTTGACAAATTTTGACAACCACCCATGTGTAGCGGATGTGATGCGGCTGTGTATGGCCTACACAGACTCAGCAATCACACAAAGGCTTCGACATTCTGGGTTTAGGGCGGCTTGCGTCCAAAAAGGCAGTAGTTGAAGGAGCCGCGACTAGCCTTCAGGGTATGTAAAGCTTTCGGTTTACAATGCGCTGTTCAAGGGCTTCGGGTGTCTACTGATCCGGTTGAGGGTTGAGCGCCGGGTTTGGGCCTTCAGGTTTTGCGCACATAGATTTCAGGCATACAGGTGCTTGACCACAACAACCAAAGAGGCTTTGCGGCAGTGCAACATAATTTCGGGATGCGAGTAGACGCAGATATCTTGAACATGAGCTCTTGGTGGGGGGAGTTGGTTTTCGGTTACCCTACGCCACAGGCTTCTCCTTCTCCCGTCGCTGCCGCACAGCCGCCTCAGGGTCCATCCTCGAATTGCGAGAAAGGGAGAGAAAAGGCTTAGGGTTTACAACTATAGCGCTAAAGGGAGAAGAGGCTGGAAGCGACAAAAAAGGATGGCGCTGAGAAGTGCGCAGTCATTCTGAGAATGACAACATCCAAGGACTGCTGGGCGGGCGCGCGCTGGCGCAATGGAAAGCCAGCAGAACATTCACCTTTATGCAAGCCCGTTTATGTGACTGCCCTAGGGCTAAAGTTGTTCCTGGAAGAGAGAGAGTCACTTAGTAAGCTCTCCCAACCTGTCGCTCTCAGAACACTCTTTGAACGTTGTGGGAGGGCATGTCAGGTAGCGAGAGCACGGAGCAGCGCCGATCAGAACTTTGCGGTTGCAGAAACCGCTGCAACAAGAAGGTCTGTTGCTTTCTGGAGTGCCTTGCTCTCTAAACATAGCAGAGAAGAAAAAAGTAGAGTCCATGCCTTGTACGAGCAAGAGATGCAACTCACGGAGAGTGAGAGGGACGTGGGCTTTGCTGCCGGGGCGCCACAGGAGAGGACAGCAGCCGAGGATGCAGCCGACCGTGATGCCCACGAACTGGCCTCTCCACAACAAAGGACACTCTGAGCCTCTGAGCCGTACTTTGCCCCTTTGCGAAGCTCGAAGCCGCTTTGCAGCAAAGAACGGCGCCTATGTTGCGCCAGCGCACGGTTACGCCCATTTCCTCCTGCTGCTCACTCAGCTTGGGCTCCTCAAGGATTTCGAGGCACTCACAAGAAGAAGAGTCGAAAAGAGAGACATAAAAATAGGGCAAGGGGGCAGGGGAGTCAGAAAAGACCGCGAAGCGAGAGAGAGAGAGACAGAGAGAGAGGGAGAGGGAGAGAGTAAGAGCAAGACAGAGAGAGCGAGAGAGAAAGGGATAGAGAGAGCGAGAGAGGGAGGGGAGGAGGGAGAGGGAGACAATGAGGGAGAGAGAGAGAGAGAGTTCGCGCGCCTCGAAGCCCAGTGACTTGGCTCTGGCTTCCAGCCACTGGCCGGACCAGATCCCAGCCCCGTCGCTCAGCGTGTTCCCGATGGCAGCCCTGAAAGCTGAAAGCGCTCATCTCGTGCCGTTTCAGTATATCTCCAAGCTGACATAGAAGAGCTGCAAAGGCAAGCTGTTGCTCCGCGACTGAGTGCTTCAAGTGCTTTTTCATCTGTTTGATCAGCATCTGCTTTTGGCTCCTCAGCTCTCGGCGCAGCCATGGTGCTGAAGTTCAGGGCCACCTAACCGAGCCCCACGGGTGGCCCCAAGGCGTCATGCAAATCATGCGAACACATAGTCACGGACCCGTGGAGAGGCACTGAACGCTCAGAGGGGCGTGCACAGAGCGTGCTGTCAATGATGTCTCCGAACAAGATCATGAGGAAGTTGTCAAGGAACCCGAACCTGTCGCGACACATCCGCGACACCCAAGAAAGGGCCTAGGACACTACGCGGCTTGCCACTCCAGTCCAAAAAGCTTCAAATCACATGGCAAGGCCACCCGATGTAGGGAATGGCTGCGGCCTGCAAGCACCTGGTTCTTTAACCGCAGAGGCTTTCAGGCAGCAGGGCTGCAACAGTGCCTATGCAGCTGCTCTCGAGTAGGTGGCGCAACCCTGAAGCAGTTTGGGCACGGCTGATGGCTGATGGCTGTGAAAGATGCTGCTATCATCCGCAAGGCATCATGATCACGAGGCTTGGTCGTAGACTCCTGCTTGGCCTGACAACCGGCAGTGAGGTTTGGAGCACCTTCCAGCCGCAGCATCTCTCCGCCTCCGCGTCGCCCTTCTCGCTCTCTGGGATGTCGGGCCTCATTTGCAAGCGCTTCTCAAGCCTTCTCATGTCTAAGGATCGCAGTGAATTACACAGTGACTACACACTGACACGGGCCACATAGTGACAAGATGTGACAAGGCAACGGCCCTGGGCTTGGAGTCGCCGTGGACGCAACCGACGTAAATGAAGCCTTATGCCGCAGAAGATGCTCGATTCCCTGCGATTCCCCTTTCACGGATCCCCCTGTGGCCACTGCATGTGGGTGTGTGTAGGTCTCATCAAAGGTGCCTCCGAGAAGCTGCAGAGCTGAACTCACAAGAACCCTTTCGTTTCGTCGCTTCTGCTTTGTGGGTCCATGTTTCCTCCGAGCGGCTGCGGAGACACCCCCTGGCCAAGACTCCACGGTGATGAGGCCTCGGCCACGATATGAGCACATCATTCCGAACAGAAACACAAGAACGGAAAGTTCTACACGTGGTTTGGCCGCCTGTGGAGATGTCGCAGATCCCTGGCTAGTCCTCTGCAACGAGCACTTTCTTCCCAGATGGCTGCAATCGTGCAAGAAGCCTGCGCTTCGCGTCAGCTGCTGTGCACCCCGCAGGCCGTGTCGCATGGCCTGAACACCAACTAGAGGATCGCTTAAGCATTCAGCGAAGCAAGTATTTCAAGTATGGTCTGCAGATTGGGACTATAGGATTTACTGGATGTTGCTTGCAGAGCTCTTCTCTGTACTGCCCACCTGTTTGCCACGTCACGGATCAAGGATTGAAGCTCCGGAGCCAATCGCAAAAATCGCATACAGCTCACAGCACGACGTGTGCGCGACGTGTGCATCCCTGACGACCGACGGAAGCAGTCCACAAGTCACGCTGCGATGTCCCTTCATCTGCCCTGGATTACAAGGCACGATCGTTTTTTGATGTTCTTTGCGACCTTTTTCCGAAGCTCGGTGCGAGCTGGAAACACAACAGGTTTTGCAGCATGCTAGCACAGAGCATCATTGCGGTGACTGCGTGGGAACGTCATCAGCCGTGCTGACAAAGCATCGCCGTACTCCCGGCAAGCACTTGAGCGCCTTGGCAAATTCCCAGAAAGCTTGCAGATGCACAACAGCGTGGTTAGCAGCTCTTCAACAGCCTTTACTCCAATTCACAATGAAGCAATGTTCCTCTGAGGACCAGGCCGAGGCATTTCCGATGAAGTCGCTGATCATGCTCAGCCAGCTCTGGGCAGAGTCTTGTGCGGTGAGCGCCTCCAGAAGATGCCAAACATGCCAACTCTCATTCAAAGGACTCTAACTCTTGTAAGAGTCAGTTAAGAGTCTGAGTCTCCATTCGTCTAATGACTCAAGAGCATCCTGCTCGCGAGGCAAGGCCTCTGGATTTCCAGTGACCACTCTGGCGCAGAGAGCGCCAACCTCCCGATAGTACTCCTGCACAAGCGTAAGCTGAGTATCAGAAGCACCTGGGGCGCATTTCAAAGCTCATCCTAATACATCCTGTACCGCAGACATCACAAGAACGGCCCTTGGTCTCCCTTCGGGAGAGCAGCCGGAGATCGTTGTGCCCTGCGCGCGGATACCTCAGGCTGGCCCACGAAGCGCTGTACGAGCGTGAACTCGACGTGCACTTGCACGTTGCTGCAAGTTTCTGCAAGTTTCTGCAAGTCTCAAAGTCTCAGAGTCCCAAAGCCGCACGAATACCACAAAGCCAACGCCAAAGGCCCCTCAAGGCCTCCAAAGCCCCCCCAAGGCTGCGGCCGTACCAGCTTTCGCTCCGAGCTGCATGCTCTGTGCGCACAGACAGCCTGCAAAATGCGATGCTCCACGAGCAAGCGGAACAGTCGCGCATGTTCAGCTCAAACCCGCCAGCCAGGCCTGCTCCACAGGGCTGATCTGGCAAGGAGCAGATGGCATGCGCATGCTGCGAATGCTGCGTGTGCTGCGTGCAAGCTGTCAAGCTCTCTCGACGTTTGGCGGGCCTCGTCCTGATCTCCGTGAATAATCAACGTTGGAACCGTCACCTGTCTCGCTTACATCCGGTCATGCATCGTACTTCTTTTCAAGCGCTGTGCAGTAGGGAGTGCACGAGTTAAGGAGCGTCTGCTTTCTATCGACGGGCTGGTATCGCATCGGTGTGTCTCTGGATGTGCAAGGTGCACGGAATGCCAAGAGTTCAGCATCTCCCACACGGAAGGAACCCTAAGACAAAAAACACAGCTCACACTGACAGCTCGGTGTCGGCCTACAGGCCCAGTATGAATAACTCACACTTACACTGAGTCACTGAGTTGCACCTTAGCACAAAACTCTGCACCCGAGGACTTGCAGTCTCCGCAAGATTCGCTTCGCTCCAAGAGCTTTGGGGGAACTCGCCCCATGGCGACTTCGCTACACCTCGGAGAGGAGCACGAAGCTCCTGGAAAATTGGAACCTCCAACTGTTGCAGCTCTTGCAGCTCTGCCACTTCAAAACCCTGAGAAGATCCTTTTTTGCAGCCTTAATCCATCACAGTCCTCTTCAAGATTGCTCAAGCATCCTATTCCATCAATCTCCAAGGTCTCTTCGCTCCATGATTGGGGGGTGGACTCAGGGCTACAAGCAGAGCCACTTTGCGCGAAAGAGCTTGAACGCTAAAAGATGCCATTCGACGATGCCCTTGCAGCAACAAGTGGGTCGCACAACCATTGGTCCTTAGATCCCAGATTGCGCTTCCGAGTCCCAGTTGAAGAGCAATTGCCAATGGCAAGCCGCTGAGGCTAAACCTTAAACCCTTACTGCGACCGGACATCACATCGAATCACATCGAAGCATCTCATGCAGCTTGGAGTGCGATGTGCCTCAGCACCCAAGCGAGACATGTATGCGGCTGCAAGAGTAGCTGGCATGGTTCTGCGGTTCTGCAAGTGCAAAGAAGCCAGGGAAGCAATCGGTCCACCTTTTTGTCACCCTCCAGTCAGTGAAGGCAAGCACGGCAGCAGCATTCCGGCAACTCTTCGCAGGCTGGCGCAGGTGAGGGCCTCAGAATCGCCAATCGGGGTTGCATCAACCCGACTGCAAAGGACATTTGCTCGTGACCTCTTGTGCCAACTGCCAAGCCGAAGCGCTGATTCGTGCGACGCGCCTCCTGTGAGAGTTTGGAATTGGACCCCCCAACAACAAGGGCCTAACTTCTTCAGGGATGTTCATGGGGGGGGAGGGGGAAGGAGGGGGGCGGGGTCCTTCTCGGATCGGCTCGCTCTTGTCGCCCAGCATCCTGGCTGCAGCAGCCTTGGCCTTCGCGCAGGCGATGAACAAAACTCAACCGAACTGCTGAACAGGGCTATTTTCTTGGGATGAGGGATTTCCTGGCTCCAAATGTATTGAACAAGTGTTCAACATAGTCACAGTTGGGGCGGCCAAGGGAGGGAGGGAGGGGGAGCCCTTGCCTACCATCAGCACTCTGCTGCCCCACTTGTGCCGCCCTACTCAAACCGCGCCTCCTGGGAGTAGGAACGCTGAGCCTGCGGCAGGCGTAAGCGACAGGCACCCAGCTTTGGATGATGTGGCACTCGGTGTCTGCAAGACCCACTCCCCGGTTAGGACTGTGAAGCCTCTCATGACTTTCCTTCAGACTGTCCTTCTAGCTCATCGAATCCGCCCCCCAAAACAAGCAAGAAAACTTGCCTTGCGGACCTGATCTGCCAGAGCTCTTGCTTCACCTTAGGTGTTGTGTGGGCCCCTAGCCGCAGAGGCGAGGCCACAGAGGCGTGAAGGCGGCGGAAGGCTCTGAGGTCACTTGGCCCCTTGGAGCTTCTCTCCAGAGCAACCCCTCACTCCACCCTCCCCATCGCCTGCCACATTGAACAGGCTGGGCCTTGACGGCATTCCCTGTTAAACCCCCTTTGGGCCCCCCTTTAGCCCGACAGTCCTGACGAGTCGGCCCCAGAGCTGGATCTGAAGGTGACATCCCCGCAGAATCCCGCAGAGTACAGTTTTGGGATGGTCGGTGCATCTTTTGTGGCAGCCTCTTTTAGGGCGTAAGGCGGTGCAAGTCAGAGGTGTCAGCTTACAGGGCTTGCAGGCAACCGGCCGCGGATGCCGCGCCAAAGACACGATGTACAGCAATGTACCGAACTGCAAAATCTGGCAGGCACTGGCTTTAGGCACCGGAATCCCCCAACCTTTGGCCCAGACAAGCGGCTGTTCGATGGCTGCTGCTTCAGCAAAGCCTGCAGGTCTTGCAGGGCATCCGAGTAATTGGAGAGCTGAAACTCCGCCGACCTCAGAAGAAGAGGCAGACTCGCACAAGAGAAATTCGAAGAGAGAAGTCCTCACCAAAAGAGAGAGAGACTCCCTTAGAGAGACCCCAAGAGAGATGCAAGGTCAAATTGGGTCAAGCCGTATGGGTCAGAATTCGCTCCATATCGCTCCCTTTGTTTCATGCCAGGGCGCGCCCGACGATAGCGCGCCTCGCAAAGTATGAAGCAGTTGCCATGACTTTGCGTTCCTTGCGCTTCGTGCATTTTGTATGATCTGTGTTCTGTTGCGTTCTCCAATCTTCGCCAGGTTTTTTTCCACAACCTGTCCACGCCTTCGCATTGCTGGGGTCTTCCTCGAGCACGCGCGAGCACGTCTGTCGAGCTTCGTGTGGTTTCCCAAGCTTGAGGAAACCTGCAAGAGGCTGCAAGAGGGCCAACAAAGAAACGGCTACAGACAGTCAGTTCAAACAGCTCGCAGTCACATGTGTTGACCCTTCGGCCCTTCGGCAAAGTCCCGCACACGCTGCACGGTTGAGCTGGCAGATGTTGCGGAACTGCTTGGCACCTTCCTCGCCCTCAAATGGGGCCATGAGCCTGCGCTGCCCACTTGTTTTGACTGCACTCAGAGGGCCTCTGCCAGCCTCCGATACAGCTCCAAGGCGAAGCAATAGCCTCAGAGACAAGGCATCCGTAAAGCTCAGTCCGCACCATCAGGGCCCCATACGGGATTCGCCCCATTCTCCGTCTCTGTCTCTGTGCAGCGAAGGCACGGCCCTCTTTGAACGAGTTCGTGGCGATGTCTTTGCGCCGCTCCGCCAACTGGAGGCGCTCGTCGAGGGGCAGGGCCGCGTTGGCCGCGTTTGCCTGTCTGGCAACGCCTTGATTTCAACAAAAGGCCAAAAGGCTGCGCTGAGCTCTCTCCCACTCGAGAAGAGGCAGAGCAATAAGAAAAACCCCAACTGAGCTTGAAACTCAGAAGCTTCACTTCAAAGGTGGCCTCGAGCGCGAAATCCTGATGCCAGGGAGGTATCTCTGACAAGTGAACTGAGCTGCCATCGGACTGCGATCCTTCAACTGGAGAAAGCTAAGCTCTTCAACAGATTCCTAGCGGTCCTAGCCTCAGAAGGTCTCTCAAGCCAACGCCTACTCATAAGATTTTGACGAATTGTTGAAACCAAGATGTTGAACTTGTTGAGGCCAATGATATGCTGCTGCAAGGTCAGGGCTAAGGGTTTAAGCGTAGGGTTCAAGAAGCAAAGAAGTTCTGCTTGCAGGTGTAGGTACAGAAGTCAGGCCAGTCAGGCCAAGCTGTGCGTCGGAAAAATTGAGCGGGCTTCTGCAAACCAGTTTGGCCTCCGCGAGGGGTGTTGCAGAACATCACTGGCAAGTATCACCCTTCGCCCTTCGTTTTTTCTAGTAACGGCGCGTGGCCTCTTCGCCGACACGCATAGAGGCAGCTGCAAAGTCCAGGGCGTCGCAGACATCCCCGCTCCCAAGTGGAAAATTCAGAACCTTGTCCAACACGTGGACTTTTGCCGAAGGGCCGACCTCAGGTGAGAAGCACCCACGCCCATAAGGGCACGAGACTAGCAGTGGGGCATCTCGGTCGTCAAAGATCGTGACCTACATCTGCAACCGGGTCACCAAGACTCGGTCCACCCTCAAAGCTACTAGATCCGCATCTTGAGGAGGATCCTCGCTTCCAGCTGTGACAAGCTTCTTCACCAGCAAACCACCCTGCTCAGAGAGCTCGGGCAGGAGGTCCAATGCCACATACACTCGCCTGCGCACCCGCAGTCGGCCGCTCTGCATCTGCACTCTGCATCTGCAGCCCAGATGCTCCAACAGCAAGTCCACAGTAGCGCCACTGTGAGTGGAGTCCTCATCAACAAGCGTTTGCATGGTTAACTGTATCCCACCTAGCGCTCAGCCCTTTCAAGCACCTTCGGTCACCCGTGCCACCCAGACTCCACCATCTTGTCGCCTGCAAATCGTCGCAGCAGGACCTGTCGTCTGCCGAACTCTGATGGCTCTGGGAAGGATCTGGGAAGGATCTGGGAAGGATCTGGGAAGGGCCCCATGTGAAGCCTGGCAGCGTTCGCCTTCGCTCATGGTCAGCAGCACCTCCGTGATGATACCAGAAACAGTGCCGAAGTCCTTGGAGCCGACCTTAGATGGAAAGTGCAGATGAGAAGGACATGTGCGCCATCATCTGCCAGCCGGGTAAGGGGTGGGGCCAGTTTGTGCCCCCCCCCCCCCTCATTTCTCGTAAGCCTCTGGCGGTATGATCCAACTTGCTGCGTTCCAGAAGCACGTCCCCTTTGCGGGATGTGATGGTCACGGAAACGACCTCAAAAAAGGCACGTCAGAGGCGAACGAGACTCATGTACAGTGACATGTGACATACATGGTACTGCATGTGACTTACATGACTTACATGCACTGCACGCACTGCATTGTAAACATGCGAAGCCACCACGTCTTGGCCTCGTTGCGGCCTTGCGCTTCCCAGTGTGCCCAGTGTTCCCGGCGTTCCCTTCTCAAGGATCGTCTTGATGGCGCCTGGGACCCCGTGTTCCCCCCCGACCCTGCGACGTGAATGAAACAGTGCCATGCTATGCCCCCCCAATTGCGAGCTGACATGAAAAAGAGAGAGATACCAAAAAAAATCAGGGAAACCCAGGGCCTAAGCACTCCTTCAGGTTGGAAGATTTCCCGAGGCAATTGTCAACAAGCACAGAGGCAATAGCTTCGCGGAGCAGCCAACACCCGTCAAAAGAATGGCTGGCGTGGCAGCAGTGCGCGTGCAAACCTGCACCGCTAAGTGCTTTCTGCCACTTCCCCCGCCCCCTTCTTCCACTCTATCGCTTTCCGAACCTTGACCGTTTGCCCCCACTTTCTTTGGTCGGGAAGCGGAAAGCGAAGGGAGTGGGGGAAGGGAGTGGGGGAAGGGAGTTTTCTCGTGAGCTGCGGCCAATCAACGACCATCCCCGAGCACGTCCAGCTTGTTCTCCCAGTCCAGGAGCTCGATCTCGAAGACAAGGGTCGCATCCGGGGGCACCAAAGGCGGCGAGCCGAGATCGTCATAGGCAAACCTGGGCGCCACCGTGAACTCCGCGACCTCGGAAGTTCCGAAAAGCTGATCCCTGCGGTGCTGAGGGCCTCTGAAGACTAAGGCCAGCGCTTCGCCCTTCCTTGGAACCAAAAAACGACCACCCTCTCCATGCCAAGAAGATGGGGCATCAAAAAAAGGGCAAATTCTCTAATTCTCTTCATCGGGGCACTTCATTGTCTGTACCGCGATCTCCAAGCCTTGGATGACCTCCAGCGGCCTCTCTCGACCAATGTAAACCGTTTTTTTTATACATGATTCCAAGCACAACACATACACACACACACACACACATATCCACACATATCCACACATATCCAGCTCTGGCCTTTGGTTGACGATGAACTCGAAGGGCTTGGTGTCCCTGGACGAGCCAATCGCTGTCCCGTCCAGAAGCCGCACATCGAAGTGAATGCGCACCTGCTGAGTCAGAAGCCGAGAGCTTCAGCCGCTGAGAGAACACTGAGACAGAACACTGAGAGTCAGAACCAAAGCGGGTCGGAACACCGTGGTGCCTCATCGCCAGACGTCGGATGGTCCTGCGAAGAACCTTCCTGGAGGAGCGTCTTTCGAATGCCCCATGGAAGGCGGGGCCCCTCCTGAAGCAGCTCAGGGGGGAAAAGTGCGGACTGCTCCGGTGGGCGGAGCAAAAGAAAGGGCAGTTGTCGCAAAGGGGAATGCCTCGTTCTCATCATCCACTTCGCTTGGTTCAAGCTCCACGCCCCACCGGCTGCCGGCGGGCAGCTTGAAGGGCGCCGTGGCTGGAAATGATGACATAGCTGCAGGGTGCAAGGAAGTTCCGGAAGCTTGGCAACCCTTTCTTCGATTCTGATGCTCATACGCTTGCGATGGCTGGCGACGAGACTAAAGCAAGTTGCAACACTTGAAATCATGCGCAGAGGCTACATCGCTGCAACCTCGAGCAGGACTGCTGATCGCTGTCGGACTGCAACAAGCACTTGACGATCATCGTGCGAATACTCACCGTGAAGGCTGAGCAAGAAGCAGGAAGTTCCTAAGAAGCACGCCGATTCAGAGATTGCTGAACTTCGGAGCCCGAGGGCAGTCTCCGCCTGAGCCCAGGAGTCTTGTTGGCCAATTGTGCGCACAACACGTGAGCCTAGTTTGAGTCTGAGGGCGTGACAAAGATAAGGATCCTTTCTGTCTGGATGCACGCACTGTGTCTTGACAGAAGACACGAAGGCTGCCGCGGAGCACACCTTGTCTGTTATGTGACAAGGCTTTAGAAGGCCTAGAGGCTGTCAAGTTCAGTTGGATGATTTTGGCATTGGGCATCTTGGTCCTTGACCTTGGGCGTGTCCTGAGCTTCCTTCATGAACCCGTTGCGAGGACAGTCGCCGCCTGGCCGGCCAACTGCCACCAAAAGAACCCTCTGAGCTGGGCTTTGACTTTGAGGCCGTCACAGAGATATGGAGGCTTCCGCTCTGGATGCACACACTGTGTCTTCGCTGATGACACGAACGCTGCAGCCGCGCAGACCTTTTTGGAAGCTTGGACAGCTCAACAACTCTCGCAAATATCTCCCACACATGCTCACGTATTGTGAGAACATCAAACACGCAGCACACAACACGCGCCTTCTCGTCGAAGGTCTTGGCGTTCCGTGGGCAGTCCCCGCCTTGCGCCGACTTGGCTTTGGGGGCTTCTGTGGAGCTCCGGCTTCTCAGAATAGGCCCCAGACAAAGGTACGGCGGCTTCCTTTCCGGATGAACGCATTGGCTCTTCGCAGACGAGATGAGGGCTGCGCAGGCCACCTCACTTCGTGGCACAGCAGAAGCAGCATTTCAGTGGGCGCGGGGCTAGAGATGTCTGTGATTTGACGGAGGGCCTTGCCACCGCAAGCCTCGCCGTCTAAGAAGGCTACCTCCTCCAGCTGAGACTGTGATGCTGTGTATCCGTATGTATCGATAGCACATGCATGTACAGCTTTTTCCATGGGAACTTGCAGCTCGCATGCGTCTATCTACAGCCAGCGCTTGCTTCACAAGCAACTGGCAGATTCTGGACCACTCGCTTTGCGAGGAGCATGAATCTAACAATCTAAGCTAAGTCCGCCGAGGCCTCGGGCCGAAGGTGTATAGGTTGTCAAAACAGGCACCCCCCTCCAAATCCTCCCCCCAGGCCCAAACACTTTTCGGCCCCCTTTTTTTGCTTCAAATGGGTACCCCCCCTAGGAGAGGAGGGTCCGCAAGCGGATGTCTCGCCAGGACCAGAGGCAGTTGCAGCCCATCCCAGCAGGGCGCCACCCCACTATCCCCCCCTACGCCCCCCCCCCTCCCCCCCCGCCCCTACCCCTCCCCCCCTACCCCCCCCCCTACCCCCCCCTACCCCCCCCCTACCCCCCCCCCCCTACCCCCCCCCCCCTACCCCCCCCCACCCCCCCCCCCCCCCCCCCTACCCCTCCCCCCCCACCCCCTATCCCCCCCCCCCCCCCCCTACCTCCCCCCCCCCCCCCAACCCCCCACCGCCCCTCAACCCGCCCACGCCCCCAACCCCCCCCCCCCCCCCCCCCCCCCCCCCCCCCCCCCCCCAAGGCGGAGTTTTCCTGCTCCGACGCGCTGGCTTGAGGGCCGGGGGCTCAACTGGTGTGAGCACGGCCGCAAATTAAGTGACACGAGCCGAAGAGTTTAAGCTGGAACCTTGACACGAACTCGAAGCTCCAGACAACCTTAAGCCCTAAGCACTCAACCGTCAAACCCTAATCCCTAATCCCTAAACCCTCAACCCTAAACCCAGCTCTGCCACGCCGTGCTAGGGTTGTCATTCTGAATGTTTGGGGTTCAGGACACGTCGGCTTCTTGCTCATGCAGCCTACGCCATGCACTGGGACAGGCCGAGGCGGGTCGCGTAGCGTTAAAATTAGCACAGTTAGCATTGTGGTCATGCCTGTCACTGGCTGGCTCTCCATTGGCGCGCAACTTCTACGGGCTCCCTGGAAATTCACCCGACTTCTTGGACAGCAACAGCTTGGCCGCTGCAGCGTTGGCGCCTCGAGTACCCAAAGTGAACCGCACCGGTGGAGCCGTTTTGAAAGTCGCAGCATATGATGGCACTTCCCAAAATACTGTAGAAGGGGGGTTGTCCCGGACATACCCTCAAGACACCATATTCGTTCTTCCCAAAAGGGCACCCCCGTTTTTTCGGAAAAAAAGGAACATGTTGGGCCACATGTATCGGGCGAGCCACGGGAATCTTCTTGGAGAACCCACCATATGGAGGTCAAACCCCACCCCCCCCCCCGCCCAATGTAGCAGCAGCTCTTGGCTCCGGGCTCGACGTGTTGGACTGCCGGCCGGCTGTCCTTCGGGGCCATAGAAAGGGGGATCATGTTTGGGACATGCGCTGGAAGCCCCCTACCTTCTTCGAAGCCTCGCCCAAGCCAAGCCGTCCCAAATCTCAATTCTAATTCTGGCGGCCTCAAAGCACCATCCGAGCGGGAGGCCCGAAGAGCCCTGTCAGACAGCAGAAAACCACAAGCAGTCGCCATTTGCAAACTTCCGTGCAGAAGAAACAGACAAAGAGACAAAAGGGGGAGCATACATAAGCCTTGAGTAAGTAGAGGCGCCTGGCAGCCTTGGAGATTTCCTCGGCGTCCGGCAGCGTGGGCCCCCGCCCCAGGAACCGGGAAGGCACCGGAAGCGCCTGGCAGGAGCTGTTTCGGGACTTCGGCTTCGCGGTGATCTCCTAGTGGGCGTATTCTTTGTATATGTATCTGTTCATAGATGTACTAGATATGCATATATACAAAAAACACATATTTGTATTATGTATATGTATGTATGAAGCTACATTTTGAGGAACAGGGCTTCTGGAGCTGAGAAGGTGGAAGGTTCACGGCCCTTGTATCAGAACTCGACCAACCGTCCTGTCGGGCCGCTTTTGTTGCTTTGAAGAGGCGTTTTCTGGGGCCCATTTCGGGTTGACTCCCCTCTTTCCTGGGGCCCCCCGCCGAGGGCAGCGGCCGGTTGCCGACTCCCCCAGTAACGAAGCGGCGGAGGGACCGCGAGGAGGCCAACACCTCAAACAGAGGTCTCAACATGCTGAGCGTGCCCAGAAATCTCCCTTCAACCGGCAGCTCTGCTGAGGCTCCCGTGCCTCTGTGGGCAATTCTTCCAGAACCTGCACAAAGGATCGAAAGGAAGACTAATTGCCGAGAAAAGGCGAGAAGCGACAGCCATACCGGTCCTTGCTCGCTTCACTGAAATAGGGCAGGAGCCGATTGTGGCAGTACATCCTGGTGGCCAAAGGCGCTCCGCCCCGCAAAAAGCATCTGCAAAGAAACACATGAGAAGAGCAAAGGAGGAACCCCAAAAAGACTGAACTTCAACAAGCAAAGCACAAACCGCAAGCGTTTCTCAGTGCCACCAACCAAGGGGCCAGTGTAGATCTCCGAGCTCGTGGAAGCAAGGAGCAAACTCCTCCCAAAGGATAGATTGATGCTAGAAAGGAGAGCCTACCTCACTCACTACACTTCCCTGAAAATCTTACTGGTAGAATGGGTCCAAAAGGATGCCTCTCTACATTCCTTGCTCGGGGCAACTCTCTCCATGCTTGTATCAAGTCTTCGTCGCAGCACTCGCTGTTTAACAACATCCGGTCTTTCTAGGACTCTCGGTAGTCAAATCACCCACTCCGCATGTACCCTCTCCCAATGTGTGTGTTTCTTCAGTTTTTCTTTGGAGAGGTATGTGCGCGCGCGCGCGTGAACGCGTTCGCGCATGCGTGTGTTCGTGCGTGTGCGTGTGCGTGTGCGTGTGCGTGTGCGTGTGCGTGTGCGTGTGCGTGTGCGTGTGCGCGTGCGCGTGCGCGTGCGCGTGCGCGTGCGCGTGCGCGAGCGCGTGCGTGCGTCTGTCTGTGCGTGCGTGCGTGCGTCTGTGCGTGCGTGCGTGCGTCTGTCTGTGCGTGCGTGCGTCTGTCTGTGCGTGCGTGCGTGCGTCTGTCTGTGCGTGCGTGCGTCTCTGTGCGTGCGTGCGTGCGTGCGTACGTCTGTCTGTGCGTGCGTGCGTGCGTCTGTCTGTGCGTGCGTGGGTGTGTCTGTCTGTCTGTCTGTCTGTCTGTCTGTCTGTCTGTCTGTCTGTCTGTCTGTCTGTCTGTCTGTCTGTCTGTCTGTCTGTCTGTCTGTCTGTCTGTCTGTCTGTCTGTGTGTGTCTGTGTGTGCGTGTGTCTTCGTGTATCACCTTACACGTCCTTGTTCGAGACTTCCACGGCAGAGCGGCCCAGAGCCTCTGCACACGGAAGAAGGAAACAAGGAAACACGGAAGCAAGGAAGCAAGGAAGCAAGGAAGCAAGGAAACAAGGAAACAAGGAAACAAGGAAACAAGGAAACAAGGAAACAAGGAAACAAGGAAACAAGGAAACAAGGAAACAAGGAAACAAGGGGAGGAGAAAAAGCGCTCGGGAGAGGGAAGGGAATGGGGCAAATGAGAGGAGAGAACCGGGGGGGGGGGGGGGGGGGAAAGTGTCGCAACCGGGGCTGGGTCTAGGGGGGTTTAGGGTTTAGGAGTTTAGGGTTGAGTATGGTTTAGGGTGACACGTCATTGACTGACTCCTGCTGGCGTATTTATTGTTGGACATACAGGACCACCGTCTTGCGCCCAAACAACCTTCTCACGCCGAACCGTAAAACGTGCATTTCCCCAAGGTTGAGAGTTTTGGGTGAGATTTCTTTTCAAATTTCTGGTTTGTGATTTCCAAACGTTTTCGAAGCCTTCCTTTCACGATACTTTCGAAATGCTGCGCCTGCCTCGTTTCTCGACGGTAACAGGCCTCAATTTGTGCATTTTCGCGGTGTTGGCACGAACCTGAAAAGCACATTAAATAGTGCTGACACCTGCATTCAAGACATCGCGCACCGCTTTTTCACAGGAGTCGTTCAAGGATGTGTTGCTTGGTTTTCGGGCTTTTGTGTGAGGTTTTGCTTTAAGCTTTCGTGAGCGGATTGTGTTGAATGTCCTTTCGGCCTTCCAGGAATGTAACGAGAAGACGGACTAAGGGTGACAACATGCCTCTTCGTGTGATCCATCCAAAAAGGAAACATCAACCGAGGCTGCCGCACAGGCGTCGTTGGTCGCCGCATAGGTCTTCAGCCAACTGGCGCCCGGGAGGTTATTCTCTTCTTCTTCTTCTTATTCTTCTTCTTCTTCTTCTGGTTCTTCTTCTTCTCTCGCTCTCTCCAGAAGTGACAAGAAGTGAGTCTTTCGAAGCTCAGAATCATTTGCCCTGCAGAAGCGTCCGTCTACGACTCCATGTCTCATGCAGCATATTTTGTATTACTAATGAAATCTCATTTACAATCATATCCTTGTCCTTTGATCATAAATTATTTTTGGAATATTGGTTTTTTATTAGGAATTACTATTTTATTACAAATTATTACAGGAATCTTCTTAGGTTTACATTATACATCAGATATTAATTCAGCATATTTTTCTCTTTTCTTTTTAATTAGAGAAATATATTATGGATGGTGTTTACGTTATCTTCATTCTAATGGTGTATCATTTGTCTTTCTTTTTATATTTCTTCATCTTGGAAGAGCTATATCTTATGCTTCATATTTTTATAATCCAAATACTTGGTTCTCGGCCTGTCCACATCCGCCGGGTCTGGAAGCACCTTGGTCTCGTGAAGGATCCCGACCCACACAGCTCCCGGCAACAAGAGCGCGCTTCACAAGTGCGGACGGAGCGGCTGGGAGTTTGGCCTCCAGAGAAGAGAGGAGGGAGGCGCAAAAAAGGGGAGATGCGTGAGGGACAGGAGATGGGCAAGAGAGATGTGCGGGGGATGTGAGGGAAAGAGAAGGCGACTCGGCAAAACCCTCTCTCGGCCTTGACCCGTCGACACCCCAGGACCGGGTCGTCGGCCAGCTCGTGCTTCAAGGCCTCGTGGAACCTGAGAGGCTAAGAGAGGCTCACCAGAGCATGGGAAGCCTATCTTCCGCTTGCCTCACGATCTCGTGCCACCTCCTCCGAACGGTGTAGCCTTGGGGGCACAAAGACGCGCATGGGCCCCTTGAGCTGGAGAGCTCAGAGCTGTTGAGCTGCCGGCAACTTGGTAGGCTGTCCCACCAAGGCCATGGATCCTGCGAGAAGAAGACTGGGGGTGGTGTAAATGCTGGGATACGAATACGTATGACGATCCCCTCCTCGAAGCCTCTGGGAGAGTCACGTGGCGAGGGGCAGGTCCTGCCAAGGAAGAAATCACCAGCAAAAATGTTGCAAGGGGCTTTGGGGGAAGGCGCGACATGTGCAACCCGGCCTTGGTCTCGGGCAATCCGACCTGCACGTGCAAAACAAATGGCACAACGCACGGTGTTCGATGGCGTCGATGGCTGGCGATCATGGGGCCATGGGGCCTGGCCTCAGCGGAAGGGGTTCCTTAGCTCGGCGTTGCTTCTCTACAATGCTATGTCTTTCAGCCCTTGCTGGGCAACCGGCGCCCTCCCAGCTGCAGCGAATGATGTAGACAAAGTGCGGTGGCTTGGTGACCAGATCTGCCAGACGTGCAATTGAGCCGCTCACAGTGGCTTAGCTAGGTTGGCTTATGCCATGCTCAGCTGGAGCCTGAGGAAGTGCGAGTCCTCCGATAGAGCCGCAGCTCCACTCGCTGGATCTCGGAAAGCGGCACGGCTCGGAACACTTCATGGAAACTGGACATCTCGGGGAACAGACTCCCAGCTTGAGCTCTCGCCGCCGAAAGAAGGGAGTCAACGGAGTCCTAAACGCCTCCCACGAACAGACCAGAAGCTCCGGAAGCTCCCTCAAAACCATGAGTGGCTACTTCGACCTCCTGTGTGGATGCTTCCCGCGTCTTCGATCGCTCCAGGCCATCGCTGTCACTCATGGACGCCAACACAGCGCAGACCTAATGAGACTCGATAAAGCAATGTCACATCCTGGGACAAGTTGCTGGTGCTTGCATGCTTGTCATGCTGAACTTTATGGTGGGAGGGGGTACTCATGGCAGACAGCGCGTCCATTTATCACCAAAGCCCTCATAGCTGCGGCTGCATGTTCTGGTCACGGTACGACACGTGATGCCGCACGCAGTTGCCGTTCCCTTTCGTGGATTTCGTGGCGGCATTCGAGGCCCAAGAAGACAAGTCTGTGTTTTTCCCCCCGCATCTCAGCGAGGAGCGCGTCCACCTCCTGTTCTAAAGCCTCAGGCACCGGCCCCTCGCCACGCTCCAGCCGCGCCTCCCGAAAGCCAAATCAATGCTGCTTCGGAAGAGCTGCAGCTAAGAAGCGCCAATTTCCGCTAAGAAGATCCAAGAAGCATGTCAATTATGTCAGTGTATAGGGGCCTATTTGCCTGGCATGGGCAGCTTCTCGTCGCATGACGGCGGGGCACGCCTGATGGACCACCAGCCCACTTCTCCGCACGACCTTCTGCCGCTCAGTGTCCACGAAGTCCTGAAGCACGGCCAAGAGCAGCAAAGGGCAACAATATCAAGCACAGCAAACGACACGCAAGGCTAGAACTAAGGCCTCGCGCTTCTGCCAATTTGTGACCCGGAAGCAGCCGTTTCGGGTAAACGCCGCGCGGGCCTCACGTGGAGCCCGCGATGAGCGACCGTTCCAAAAAGACCTCCCTTCTCTCCCGACCTCCTCCACCAGCAAAGCCATGTCGGACTGGATCAAGACCTCCAAAATCAAAAAGAAACCTTCCGCCCGCAGTGGTCACAGCTGCACACAGATGCACAGAGGGAGTGACGTGTTGTCATGACCGGCCTCCGAGTGGGTGGGCAGGTGGGCTGCCAGGAGCTTCACCAAAGAGCCGCGGAGCAGCCGCCGGTCCCGGTGCTCCTCCTGCAAGTGCGGGTCCGGGAAGTTGATCGTTACGGTCTCCACCTCACTTGCGAGGGGCAATTAAGCCAGGGGAAGCCATGGGGAGGGGGAGAAGGCCCTCCAAGTTTGGCTTCTGTTGGAGGGCCAAGCCGGCCTGGCCACGACCCCCCAGCTGCTGAAGCAACGTGGCCAGGTCGGTGTTGGCGTTGCCCTACAAAGAAGAGAGGAGGCTGCAGTAGAAGCACAAGAGAGGCGGAGACATGGAGTCTGAAGTTTTCGGGCAAGGCAGATGCACGCATTCCGCGCCTGGGCGAAGGCAACGTTGCGCAGGCCTTGCTCCTGGGCCCGAGCGGAGGCAAAGGCCACGGCGTGGGCTCGGAACTCCAGGCCGACAACCCGCAGATCCGGCCGTGCTCGCGCCACCCCGCGCACGAAGCCACCCATGTCGCAGCCGATATCCAGCAAGTACCGTGCAGAGGGCTCAGAGGGCTCGTCGGGGAAGGCGAGGTCAACAAAGTTTGGTGGCAGCCTCAGGCTAGTAAGGTAGGTTACCAAGGTAGGTTACCAAGGGCTCTCAAAGCTCCACTCAGGAGCATGGCCATGCGGGCATGCCCTGGCAATGCCCTGGCAACATCTTGGCTGAGAAGCTGCCGAGCATGTTCCTGCAATGGGTTTACAGGATGCCGACTTCGTGGGCGGGTGGAGCGCTTGGAGCGCTTGTCTGAGTTCGGAGGTTGGTCCGCGTCACACGTAATCGACGTCACCAGCACATCCACAATCTCCGACACCTCACAGAGGCTTCTGAGATCTTCTGAAGGCAAAGAGCAAGGCAAAGAACATTCCCACAAGCTGATGTTGCGCCTCCCGCAAGGAGGGATCCATGAACTGCAGGCCATACAAGGCGTTGCTCACCTCCTCAAGCAGCAGGCCAATGAAGAATGAGTTTTTGGGGGATGTTCGGGGAGGGTCAAGACAGGGTTCCTGCCCATGAGTCCTGCTCAGTCATCGAGGAGTCGAAAGAGTCTTTCAGTTTGGAAGCAAGCAAGGCGAGGAGGCGACGCACAGCCGGACAATCGCTGCTGAGACTCTGCAGGCCGTAGAGTGCGTTGCCCACTGCCTGGCCGTCCAGCGGAGAGGCCTCCACGTAGGGAAGGAGGGCCGTCAGCAGCTCTTCCACCTCGTGCACTTCCACCACTTGGGGTACCTCCTCCTTCCACCTCATCCCCTGCAGCCCATACAAGGCCATGCCCAGCCCCTGGGCGGAGAAGCCGCGAGAGCCGCTGGAGTCTTCATCAGAGCCGCTTGCGAAGGAGGCGGTGGCCCAGCGTCCCAAGGCACCCAGCAGTGCTCGGGTCTCCGGAAGTCGAGTGGAGAGGTTCTGCAAGCCGTACAGCCCGTTGCTCAGCGCCCGGGGCTCCAGAGGCTCCTGGATGGCCGAGATCTGCGCGGTCAGTGACCGCAGGAGCGCCGCGACGTTCGGAGTCTCATCCTTCATCGACTGCAGCCCATAGAGTGCGTTGGAGAGCTGGCGACCGTCCATCGCGAGCCCTCTCTGCCGAAGGCTGCGGGCCAGAAACGCCAGGCTCTCTTTGCAAAACACCTCCCGAACAAATCCGAATGAAGCGGCACGACACGGAACGACACGGACAAATCACGCGAGTACCTCCTCTGCATCCAGCTTGGCCGCCTGGTACAAGAGGGTCGCCAGGTTCACACCTGGCGGATCTGAGACAATCTAACAACCCAAAAGGCCGAAAGGGGCCAACACTCTCCCGCAATATGCTACTCCCAGCCATGCCACCGTTCAAAGGGCGCGCTTCCTTCACGAACGTCTGGAGCAGTTGGCGCTTCTGCGCGGCCGACTTTGCTGCCAAAATCTCCTGCGAGAACATCAGCCCCCAGCTTTTCCCCCCAGCTTCTTCGTTCATCACCTCAAAAATTCCCCAAACGGCCGCATAAAATATGCCCCCTCGCCTTGTTGGTGCGAACGAACCCGTATCTGCGTCTTCCAGGGCTGGATCTCTTTGTCTTCGGCCCTTGACTTCTGCTGGGACCTAATTTGTCAAAGCAATCCACCCTTTGCAAAGGCCATTCTGCTCTCCGAACCGACTTTACTGCTCCGCTGCGGCAGGCCACCCACTGCACGGCGTACAAGCGTCCAGGCTCTCGGTGACAGCGCACAGGTCCCAAACAGGATCAGGTGCTTGCAGCATCCGAACGACCCGCGGGAGGCGGCGTGCCGCTTTGGCAGCGTCACCCCTGACAGGCTGCACAGCCGTGGGTGTGCCCAGGCCGAGGTGCATTGCATGAAAGATGTCTTGTGGCTAGTCTTGTCGGGTAGAATTATAAGGCTGGAACGAGGCCGGTGTTCAAAAATTCCGCTTTGTTGCAGAGATGTCTGTTGAGCATGAGTATGCATGAGTGTGGTGGACAACGCCCATCAACAACTGGCTCGAGACAAAAAGCTGTTCTGTTCAAAAGCACAGTTAGGCGCGGGTGAAGCATGACAGCCCTCTCCCAGTCTCACAGCAGCTCTCTCTCCTCCTCCACTTCCTCCTCTGGTCTCCTGGCAGCTTGATGCCATGTACAGTAACATGCAGACATTGCACCCTGCTCACGGCACGCAGCGCGTGCTCCCCGCGCATACGTCATCTCGCCTTCTTTCAGTTGGCTCCGCACGAAGAACCTTCCCACAAGCTCTGGCACCGGCACGTCTCCTGCCTGCACATCGCACAGAAAAGACACCACACCGCCACGCAGCAAAGAAAGAAGGAAGGAAACAAAGAAAGAAATGAATACTGAAATGAAAACTGCAGGCGCCGGCCCCCCCCCCGCTTCCCCCTCCCCTTGAGTTCGCGGACAGTCCTCGCACAAGGAGGGCAGCGCCCAAACCCAGGGAGCCGAGGGATCCAAGGGACCCGAGGGCGCCGAGGGCGGCCCCTCCACTGCCTTCCAACGTCCTCGCCAAGGCTGCCGCTTTTTTTTCTAAATCCTCTGAGAACACGGATGAACACTTGGCTTTTCGTCTCTCCACTCCAACCTACAAAAACTGCAAGGTGGTCAGCGACAAGGACATCCAGGAAAACCTTGGAGAACTGACCAGTTGACGCTCGCAGAATCTCAGTTCGTCCTGGACTGAGAGGGATCCGACGCCTCGGAACGTCCAGCGAGGCGTTTCATGGAGACTCTCAAGCTGCTGCACTCTGCCACTCCAGTCTCAGGCGGCTGCCGTGGCTTGTCCGGTTGGTGCGGCCGCTGGACCCCCAAGCGAAACAACGAAGGTGGGCAAGCTGCCCTGCCGAAACAACTGGCACAGTGCATTGCCACATATTGCCGTGATGTGATCCAAGCATCACCTTTTCTCAAGCACCCCAACACTTCCGCGTCACCACCACAATCACGCTTGGCATGCTTCACAGGGGCAACACGCTCAACGGGTAGCAAACAAGCCGCCAAACTTCTAGACATCATTCAGACAAGAACCAAGAAACATCAAACATAAAGCCGTGCCGTCCGTAGCCTGAAACACCTCCTGTCATACTCTTGGCTGCGTCCCAAGCGCGCGAGCACAGGAAGCGTCGAAGGAAACATTCTGCGCCACCGATGCCGGTAGCCCAAGCTCCCGAGAGAAGTCATTGAATCTCTGGCTGATACGATTTGCAGCAGAGTCATCAGGACGCATTTGTGCCAGCAGATCAAACACTTTATGCAGTTTGCCCCTCCACGAATGTGCGCCCGGCGCGGTGAGTCTGGTGGTTCCGTGCTCGGAGGCAGCGAACACCAAATCCCACCCCCCCCCCCCCCCCCCCGAGCTGCACTACCCGTGACTACCCTCGCCTTATCGGAACCGTGCACTCAACTGCTTGTGCGTGCTGCTATGTGCCACGGCGCGCCGGGTGCTGCTGCGGCGCCTTCAGGCCCAAGAGCCCGCCAGCTATCAGCGCCTTGCCTCACCCACGGAAGTTTGGCAAGGATGTTGCAAAATGTTCGACAGTGAGCTATCATGTTCTCATCACGCCATGCCATTTGCTATGCCTGCAGCGCCGAGTCGAAAGGTGCGGTCCCTCATGGCCTGAGAACTGCAAAGTCCCTCTTGACGGGAGACTCCAAGACGGGCAACTGTTGCAGGAATTGCACAAGTCTCTGCAAGTCTCTCGGGCTCCGGCTGCTTGTGAGGGAGCAGAAGAAAGCTCTGAGCCACACGGCTGAAGGGACTCCAGGCTTTCAACTTTCAAACCAAGCCACACTCCGAGCCACAACCCTGTTTTCTTGGGCTCAACATATCGGCCTCCCTTTTGGGGGTAGGGGAGGAGGGGGTCTTAACGTCCTCGCCTGTCCCATCTCCTCGAGCATCTTCAGAGGGCACGGCAGTGCCTTCAAGGCCTCTTACAACGCACTGCACAGCACATGTACAGGACACAGGACACAGGAGGCGACTTTACGGACTCTGCAAGTCTTTGACGTCAGACCTGAAGCACTTGCGGCATCATCATGCCAATCTGCATGACCTCGGCCATCGCTGTCACAGCACGTGGAGAATCCTGGAGACCCTGCTCGAGGCCCAGCTGAAGTCGACGTTAGAACGATTCAGTTTCCAGCCATTGGCAGCTTCAGGAGATCCATAACGCCAGACTGTCAGGATTTCAGAATCTACAAACAGTGCAAACAGTGCAAACCCACTCTGGGTGGGCCTCCACAATGAGGCCACCCACCCTTTCATCCTGGGAGATCACCAGACATTCACAACGATGCTCAGGGTGCATGTGTGAGCGTTGTCTGTGCACGGACGGAGAGCCAAGAGAGCCAGGAAGGAAGGAAGGAAGGAAGGAAACAAGAAGCGCCCATTTCGGGATCTCCATGACCCTAACGGTGCCAGCATGTAGCTCTGAAAATACTTGTACGAATGAGTTTCCAACAAAACTTTGCAGCCTGCCGAAAGCCTATTGCCTTTGCCAGGGTTTCTGCTGTTTGCGCATGCTTGGGGCATCTGCCACACTTTGGGCAGCCGGCTCCAACTATTCAATCCAGAGGGCACAGGACACCAGAATTGCCCACTCCCATCTGAGAAGCTGCACAGAATATGGATGCCAAAGTCATCATCTTCACCGTGCCCGCCATACTTTCTGTGATCACTCACAAGATGGATGGATAGACGGATGGATGCATGGATGGATTGTGATTACGCGTCCTGCTCGCTGACCCTACCCGTCCATCAGCCTCATCGCAATCAACTTGTTCAGTCTTGCAAATTTGATCTGATCTGTCTTCCCACGTATCCAAAGCTCCGTCATGGGACAAAAACGAGCACAGCGCAGCAATCGCGATCAGTGGTAGATTGTGCGAGCCCAGGAAAGCAACGCGGCCCTTTCGAATTTGATACGGTGTGGTATACTTCACATCCAGCCTCCCGCCTCCCATCCAAAACATTAAGTGCTACATGGCCTTCTGCAACCTTGACAAGCTAAGTGCACGGTCTGCAGACACGGTTCGTGAGACATCACATGACAGGAGGAGGAGCCACAGAGAGCGAAAGAGAGCGAGAGAGCGAGAGAGCGAGACAGTGCTTCCGGGTTTTTCTCTTGTTTCCTGTGAGAAAGCTGAGCTGCCGTGAGCTGTCGGAACTTTCCGGGGCTGGCACGTGCAGAGAGGCCAGGTGGATCGCACACGCGGTGCCCAAGCCTCACTACTTGAGTTCAAGGTTCTCGAGACTCGGCTTCCACGGGCCTATCTTCTGGGGTTCTAGACGACAGATCGAAAGATCGACGGAAAAACAGAAAGAACGAAAGAAAGAAAAAAACAGAGACAGACAAGACAAAAAAGAAGAGAAAGGAGGAAGAAAGAGAGAGAGAGAGAGAGAGAGAGAGCGAGAGAGCGGGAGAGAGCGAGAGAGAGAGCGAGCGCGAGCGCGAGAGCGAGAGCGAGAGCGAGAGCGAAACATCGCACCAGCGGGGGGTCACCCGCGACATCCCGCCACCTGTTTGACCACTAAAGCCCATCAAAGCGGGTGACGCTGGGCCACGTGTGGTGAGCGAAATGCACTGGTGCGATTTACGGCAGCTGAGCACCTCCTGCAGAGGGTCGCCAGCCTCCATGTATTATTGCATGAAGAAGTGGTCGATGATTTCCCTCATCACTCCGCCCACTCCATCTTTCAATCTTGGTGGGCCCTCCCACTTTGCTTCTCTTGGACCTATCGGTTCGACTCGGCGTTCTTGAGAGGCTTCTTTCGATCTCCTCTGGGCCCCCCGGCTTCGTCCGTGCAAAACAATTTGCACGTCCGCCTCTGCAGGAAACATAACCCCTAAACCCCAAACCCCAAACCCTAAACCCTAAACCCTACTGCACCGACGGCCCTAGGCACGCGAAATTCCGTGGCCTGGATGCCCGCAGCTTCCAGGATGGAAGGCAGGGCCTTGGGGATGAAGAGCGACTCCCCCCCCATAGGGACCCACTCAGAGCATAAGAGCCCTCCGTTCCGCCTGCATGAGGGCTTCGCTGTCGGGATAGAGGCGTTTCAAGCCTGAGGCGGACCAAGAGGCGTTTTGAGGAGTCCCCAAGCCCAACTCTTGGCGGCCCAGGACTTACTGACTTCTGTGTTGCCGGTTGCTTTGCTAGTGGCCCTTGTTCGTTTCTGAAGGGGTCTGGGGTGCAGGGAACCTTCCTTCCTTCCTTCCTTCCTTCCTTCCTCCCTCCTCCCGTGCCCTTCCTGACGTGATTTAGGAATACTCTGGGTGCCGCGGTGCTTTACCGACAGCATGTACTTGTCGGAAAAATATCTCGGATCCCCCGCCCGTATTTCTGTCTGAGCATTGCAGGCAGCAAGTGACAGGAAAGAAGCTGATTTTTTCGTAGCAGTATTGATTGCCGATGAGTTTGCTGCAACCCTCTGTGGTGGGCACTTGGCTTCCCTTCGCTCCAGGCGAAGCCACGGTACTGCCAGGGGCGTCAGGAAACCGTCGCAGCACCAACATGTTACAGCAAGAACCTTGCAAATCAAACTTAACTCTCAGTCGAAGATGACGTTTCAAAATCGCACGCTCACACCAGTGCACGCACACGTGTTCTCGCACACGTGTGACTTTAAGCCTGCCTAAGCACTAATGACACTCAAGGAGACCGAGCGTTCAAACCAGTTCGGGCCCTGTGGATGCATGCTGCTCCGCTGGAGGGAAAGTAAGGTTGAGCAGGGATTGCGGCCTGCAAGCTGCATGCACAATGCTCGCTCACGTTGCACTTGATTCTTCTTGTGGTGACATTCATTATTAGCTCAAAGGACTCAAGCCAGCTGCTTTCCTAAAGACGCAGAAGCTTTTCAAGCCATTGAAGGCCACTGTCAAAAAATGGCGTCGGAGAACTCTTTGGGGCTCTGCTGACACACTGTGCAGGGCTGCCACCATCCTCGCTTTATATAGGCTTTGGCAGCGCCGGGTGCTTCGGTGATTTGCTTTCTACGAAAGTCCGTCAACATCTTCAGGTGAAAGCCGGGTCCACTTCAAGGGGATAACCAGTCATAACACCGTGGCAAGGCCTTTATCGAAGCCTTTATCTGTTGCCAGAGGATATACTTGTAGTCTCGAACCGTGGCTCATCATGATGAGGCATTTTCATGTCCAGAGCAAACAGTTCATCAGCTCCACGCAATGACCATCGAGGCAAAACGAAACTTATCTGGCACTTCACGCGTACCAAATCTTCGCACCCGCCTCTGGGCACAGCACGAGGGAAAACCCGCAGTCGAAGAAGTGGTTCACGTCTCCCTGGTCAATGCTCGTCTTGCGAAATTAAAAACCCGGGAACTATGCATAGAGCTATACTTGAGAATGCTCGACACAGAAGATTTGCAACCACATCACTAGATAGCCCGGAAGTGCTGTCTAAGAAAGGTTGTTGTCCATGGTGGCACCCGATATCAGAACTCAAGCGTTTTGAAACTCCAATCCAACGCCCGAAGCGCAGTCTGCATGCTTGCCTATCGTGGCAGTAGCTGCTCATGAACTTGCAAGACTTACGACTTGGAAGTAACAAAAACCCGAGCGTCCACAGACTCTACAGACTCTAACGTGGCTTGCTTATCCTGACATGAGCTTCTCATGAACTTGCAACACTGACAGGCGTGAAGCTGAAACCGACTCTTGCCACAAGCGTGCTGGGCCCAAGTCTACGAAAAAGGCTCTACACTCCAATCCACCCCTCCCCACCTAATTCCCAACCCCCGAATCAAGACTCAACTGGGCTCCTCCAGGTCCGTGCAAAGCTCGGCGTTGGCATGGAAGTAGATCAGCATCGGAAGACGGGCTTCCTACTCTGAAAGGGGCTCGTCATGTTTCGAAGGATGTTCGGGTTTCGGGGCGCCTTGGGGAACTTGGGGGCTTTGAAGGGCTTCGAGGTCGAAGGCATTTTGTGTCTTTATTTGCTGGCCTCGGGCCGTAGGCCCTGGAACCCTAGCGGAAACAGCGGAAACTCTTTCAAAAGATTTGCGTAACATACGCGTGACCTCCGGGACGCCTTAGCGTCCACAGCCTGAATCCCCGGCATTCAACTTCCCACATAACCTCACCTTCAAGAAGTCTTGTCCTACGAATCCGAGCCGGCAAGCTTTGAAGTGACTACCATATACAGTTATCCACCGCCACAAAGCCCTCGACTCCATCGACATGGAGCCGCCTGCAATCCAGCCCGTTTGATATCGTTTCTAAACCCCCCTCCCCCCCCCCCGGGGCACCCAAACGCTCAAGCCCACAAAACCCTTCCAGCATCTTCCAGCATTTTCCAGGCGCCTGGCCAGCCTCAGCGCTGGCGCTCCTGTAAAGCCTCTGAGGGTCAGATGTGCAGATGAGGACACCCACAACCCAAGTGCAAGCTTACACGCAGCAGATCCCAGATACGTTCTAAACATGGGAGGCAACGGCGACTGCTCCGATGTGGTCCTGTAGGCCAACCGGACGCCATCCTCCGCCGCAAAGGTGCTGTCCGTCCAGCGGCCTGCAGCTGCGCGCGGGCTCCCAGTTCCCAGCGCGCAGCGGGGTAGGTGCCCCATGCCCCCCCCCAAAAAAAGAATTGTAGAAAGGCTGGTTGCAGGGTTTCTGCCGTAAGGCGCTGGGGTCAACTTTATTCTTCATCACATATGTTCACATATCATTTTCATCATCATCATCATCATCATCATCATCATCGCATTCATTCTACATCATTATCTCCCCCTCAAGCGGTTTATGGGGGTTGGTTCTGGGTTTCATCCTCCAATCGTCAGTTTTAAGTGTTTTTATCCTCCTCCTTCATCACATTTCGTCACTTCACACATTATTTCAGCGAAATATTTTCAGGGATTTCTCAAATTCAAAGATTTCTGGAGTGTTGGCGGTTGTGTTGTTTGGTAGGTTCTGGCGCTAAACTTCTGCTTGAAGGTTTGTTTGGGAAGGTTTTCCTTTAAGCGGATTCTTCAGGGTATCGGTTACAACGATGACGTTGCCGTTTTCAGCGACGGCTTCTCTAAAGTGTGCCCGACTCGCGTGTTTTTTTTTTCAATCTTGCTTTCAACGCAGACTGAATCATGTTTCAGAAGTCACACTGCACAAGTGAGCTTGACAACTTCGCTTCATTCCATTAGCAAGTTGTGTTCAAGTTTAGAGACCCTTCTTGTTCATCACACGCAATGGCTTCTAGCGGAACGGAGGCTACGAAGTTAGCAGAAACCCTACAACCAACTCTTCTACAATCCTCCCCCCCCCCCCCCCCCCCCCCCCCCTCTCCGCGGCAAAGAGCAACGCCGTTTTGGGAAGGCTTGCACTTCTGAGGGCGAAAGGCCACTCCGGCCACCATGAAGATGAGAGAAGGGCAAAAATCTAACACGATGACTGTAAATGTTTCCAGATTGCCTGGACGCACGCGCTCTCCATTTCTCTTTGCCTTGCGCAACCAGTGGCGACGACAGCCCCAACGCCGCTGACTATACAAAGGGCGGGGGGTAGCCAGCCGCCTTAGTTGTCCTCCTCTGCGCCTCGTTCCTTCTCTTCCTGCTCTTCCTCCTCTTCAGGACTTGTTGCAAGAAGCGGGTCGACGGCGGAATCACCCTGAAAGACACACACCGGGACGTGGAACCTCTCCGACTGCTCTGCGATCTCATCACTCTCCCCCATCCAACAGGAGGTTAAGGGTTTCCAGGGTCTTTTGGTAGGCCGTTGTAGGTGACCCATACCTTCATCTTCACACCATCGTCAGCGGATTTTGCGTTGACCTTGTCCTTGAGAAACTCTCAGTGAAGAACTGCGTCCTGCAGTTTCGTGAGCCACTTCTCCTTCTCATCATCAAGGGTCTTGGTGTCCATGGCGTTGTAAATTTCCTTGAAGGAGTCGTCCCATTGAAATTTCAACAGCTTGTAGGATTTCTTGTCATCTTTGACTGTGTCCATGGTTTGAGTACCTTCTGCATCAGTGGAAGGCTTGGCCAGAACACGGTTTGGTTTGGGTCAACTTCGTAGCCTCCGCTTCCGCCAGAAGCCATTGCGTGTGATTAACAAGAAGGGTCTCTAAACTTGAACACGAATTGCTAATGGAATGAAGCGAAGTTGTTCAAGCTCACTTGTGCAGTGTGACTTCTGAAACATGATTCAGTCTGCGTTGAAAGCAAGATTGAAAAAAAAAAAAAAACAAGCGAGTCGGGTGCATTTTAGAGAAGCCGTCGCTGAAAACATCAACGTCATCGTTGCAACCGATACCCTGAAGAATCCGCTTAAAGGAAAACCTTCCCAAACAAACCTTCAAGCAGAAGTTTAGCGCCAGAACCTACCAAACAACACAACCGCCAACACCCCAGAAATCCTTGAATTTGAGAAATCCCTGAAAATATTTCGCTGAAATAATGTGTGAAGTGACAAAATGTGATGAAGGAGGAGAATGAAAACACTTAAAACTGAAGATTGGAGGATGAAACCCCAGAACCAACCACCATAAAACGCTTGAGGGGGAGATAATGATGTAGAATGAATGAGATGATCTGTAATGAAAAATGACAATGAGTAAGGAGACAAATTGACCCCAGCGCCTAACGGCAGAAACCCTACAACCAACCCCCCCGCCGGGCAGCAAAGGGCCACGCCGTTTTGGGAAGGCTTGCACTTCTGAGGGCGAAAGGCCACTCCGGCCACCAGCTCGCTCTCCTCAGGGTGAGAAAGCGTGTTTCTTCAGGGGATTCGCAAGAGAGCTTGGGGGTGCTGAGATGTGCTGAGGATCCTGACCCACAGATTGCTTGCAGGCATGGAGTCATCCCTGGGGATGAAGGAGACAATCCGAGCACCCTCCGATACTTCGAGGGACTTAAGGAAGGACCTGGAAAGACTTCATGAGACTTAGCTCATCTTGAGCACGGCACAGCGGCCGTGCAGGACATTGCACACATCGCTGGAAGCTCCAAGCTGACAAATGCTCTACTGAGAGCAGGAGGCTGGGCTGTCTGCGCGCAGCTGCGATTCTACATCTTGGAGATGTTGATCTATTTGATGTACATTGGTACGATGGACTGGTTTGCAAGTGCAGCTCGTGATCAGGGGATGGCACAAGTAACTCTACCACCTCGTCGTCACCCTACGCCACTTCACCTTGAGGTTGGGCAGCCAGTTATGGTCCATGCCAGACATGAGGCGGCAAAGAGCTCACAGAGAGACAGAGCTCCATGAGGTTCCCTGGGCTGCTGGAGCACGACCCTCTTTTTGTGTCTCTATGTCTGCCTCACTCGGGTCCCGAGATTCGCAACGCTCCTCGACCCATGCCTTCAGTGGAAAAAAGCAAATCTCAAGGACCGCCCTACGCCCCGTGATCCCTACACGACGCAGTGTTTCGGTGGACTCTCATATACAATCATGTACTCTCATTGACTCATGGTCATGGTTCGCGCTCCCTTCGTCTTGCGTCTGAGGTGCTGCCAGCTCCGAAGCTCGCTGCTTGCCCACCTTGAGAGGCAGTTCAGCATCTCGGTTTTGCGCAGCTCTGTGAAGCTTTTGATGAGGGCTCGGGCAAAGGGTTTCAGCTCCATCAGCATGTCCTCCGATCGCTTGCCGCTCGCGAGCAGCCGCACCTTGGAAACGCTGCGAGTCTGGTAAGCTCTTAAGCGGGGTAGGAAGGTACTTCACAGTATTTCGGGTCTCCCACTGTCAGCTCGGCCAGCTTTGTCAGAGCACTTTCGCCGATGCTGTCTAGTAGGCCCTCCATTTGCCTCCGCAAGAACAGACTTTCGGATCTCTGGGCGGGGGGACAATGCGGACATTTCCTCGGCATGCCCCTCTGTACCAGATCGCAACAGCAGGGTGACACAAGACCCAAAACCCATGGTCGTATCACAGCATATGGCATATGACAGCCCTCAATTGCTGGAACCCGAGGTGGCCTTAGTCTCTCCACCGTCTCCTTCTTCAGGCTCGCCTGATCCTGGAGACTGCGTGACTACACAGCTGAGCAAACAAAGACCAGTCTGGTGCCAGCTTAGGGCATCTCCTCCAATGAGAGCGCTGTCGGACAGAAGGTCCGCATCGGTGGCCTGGAAGTCTCAAAGTTTCAGCGCCGGCTTCCTGCACTTCCCCCCCCCCCTTACCTCTCCGCCACTTCCCTTGCGCTTCCCCGCACTCCCCCCCGCGCTACGCTCCCCTCCGCTTTGTGCTCGCGGCAGTGCTCTGTGTCTGCAGTTTTCGGAGTTCTAGGCATCCGGTTGAGGGGCCTTGCCCTGGTGGTTCTCAGAAAGTGCTGGAAGCCGAAGGGACTATTTCGGAGATATAAAAAGGGCTTCAGAGCGGATTCTTGGGCAAGACACGTCCAGCGATTACATTATGCTAAAGCCTGGGATCAAATCTAGTGAAAGACACAGTTAAACTGTGAGGAAACTGCTCGGAACTTACCGCATGTCCAAGCCAGTTCAAACCTCTGGACTTGATCCCGGACCCATCTGCTCCAGCTGCCCAGAAACAGAAGACGAGAGGAGCAACGGCGGGGCCGACGACGTACTCGCTTGCCCTCTCTCTCCCTCTCTCTCTGATGTAAGGCGCCGGCGCTGTCACGGCTTCCGGCCTGGGATCCTCCGGCGGCTCCTTCTCCACCGATTTCACTTCATCGGCCTTTTTGCTGTTGAATGATGCGAGGTAATGCTCTGAAAGCACACTCAAATATATTTCAAAAATTGGAGGAAATTGCAAAGAGGTCTTTGGAATGCAGAAAACTACGCATCAAACGAGCCCATCAGCGGCTTGCGCGTAGAGGCACTTGGAAGGGAGCCGGCAGAGGAAACGGCTCAAGGAACACCACAATTTGGCTAAGCCCCTTTCTGTGCCCCTTGCTTGAGGAGAGGCTGCCAGCCAACACATGGAAATCATCGTTGGCACCGGTGCGTGCTTGCGGCCCATTGCTTTGTTGCTCTTGCATTGCACCGCCCCAAGCTGCAGTTCTGGCTTTAGCCCGTCAGCTTGGGCATGGGATGGCATGGGTAATCACAGGTCGTGGGCCCAACACAACATCCAATAGTCTATCTACTTCAGGGGCTGAGCATTCAACCCGAAGGACAACCAACACTGCAGTCCTTCTTTCGGGCTGCTTTTTGAGGCTCGGGCCCCATAGGACTGCGAAAAAGCGTGCGCGAGCAAAGATCAACCCATCGATGAGATGTAACTGCAAGCATGAACTGTGAATCATCGCGAGCTGCTGTTGAGATTGTCCGAGAACTGTCGTCGCTTTCGCACAGAGCATGTGAGGTGGCGAGGACCGGCGAGGCATCTAGCCGGACTTTGCCAAACCGTTGTGGACACCAGTTGATGCCGGCGCTTAGCAGGGAAAAGGAAGCAGTTCTTGCGCGCAACTCTGATGTGTTGTGGTTTTCTTGGCCGCTACTTCATGTCTATACGAAAAATGTGGTAGCAATGCCTCACCGCACAACTTGACTTTGGACAAGCCGGATGTTTCTTTCGCTGCTGTGGTTTGAGCAGTCCCCCGCTCTCGCATCATCTACGTTGCGTGGACGGTGAAAAAGCAACATGCTGTCGAATATGTCTATCTTTGTGTCTATAGCGCGCAAACCTGTGCATGTACCGCTTCGAGGACGCCGAGCCTCTTTCTCACTCGAGACGCCATCGTTCGTTCCCTCTGCGTCCTGCTCCGCATTTTGCTCCGCACCCTGCTCATCTGCCGGATCTTCGTCGTCGGGATCGTCCTCCCCTTCTTCTGTCGCCTCTTCTGAAGCCGGCTGCGCCTCTTGGTCCCCGTTCTCTTTCGACTCATCCTGCTTGCTTCTCTTTTTCTTCTTCTTCTTTGTCTTCCCATTTTCCTCACAGAGCTTCATTGAGTCAGGCAATCATGGATCAATCATTGTCACAGATATAGTCCATAGTCCAGTCCCGTCCTTCTTGGCCTTCTTCTTCTTGCCTTCATCGTTCTTTACGCGGGCCTTTTTCTTCTTCTTTTGCTCACCTTGATCTGACTTCGGGCTGGATTCCTTGAGCGCGAGCTCCTTGGCTTTCCGACGGCGCTGTCGCCGCTGCCAGGCGGAGTCCTCGGAGCATCGCTTTGGGAAGGGAAGGAAATTTACAATCAGAGTACCATAGAGTACCCAGCGGCAAGAACCAGGCACCGGCCTCGGCCTCGACCCCTGCTTCGGCACCTTGGGCGCCTTCACCCTGCTGCGCGCTTTCTGCGGCGCTGTCCGCGCTGTCCGCACTTTCCACACTTTCCACATCCGAGATGTGCACTGACCTTGGGCATGGTGCTCAAGATCAGACACATCTAGCTACCACAATGGGTTGCAAAGCTACAGGTAGCACAGGCAAGGGTGTGTTGGGGCTCACCAACATGCGGCGAGTGTGCGACACATGAGAGGAGGGGCTGCAACAGCTAGCGGACTCTGTTGCATTTATCACGTGCGACCCCCACATGGCAAGGCGAAACGTTGCATCCAAGAGATCTAGCTAGCGTTCGTGACTAAGACAAGGGAAACGCACGAAACCCCAATCGGGGTCTCGACAGGAACTCCTCGGCGTCCGTGTGGTAGGCCTAACCGTGTACATGCACATGCCAATGCCCCCGTGTACTCTCGTGTTTGCCTTCCATCGTCAGCTTGTGGCCTCTGGAGAAGAGCAGAAGTGGGCCTTGTCACCAACCTTGAAAGCCAAGCCGAAACCAAGCACAAGCTCAGCAAGCTCAGCAAGCTCCCAAATGAGCCCCAAGCCTTCCTCTGGATCTCCTTTAGGAGGTGCTGGAGGTCGGGTATCTTGTTCCCTCCTCAGCTCAAATCGCCTTCAAAATCGCCTTCAAGCTGCAAGCCTTAAGCGAGACTCGATCTCAGACCCGCGCGTAGCCGAAGGACCAGAGGGTGAATGAGGGCGCCGGCATCGGAACTGCAGTTCCACGCATGTGCACACCGATGCACTTTTTACGCGTATCATAGGCTCTACATGTAGCTCAAGGTCAAATAGCCGTGCCCCCGCCCATGTTGAGCCTTGTCTTGCGCGGATACGAGGGGTGGTTGTAGAGACAACGAAGGAAAGACGAGACCGGATTGTCCTCGCCTGACCCGGCCTGCAATGGTACAGCTTGCCGGTTAGATGCTAGAACCCTCTCGATCCTCCACACAGCCTCCACGCAGATCTCGTTTTCTGCCAGGGAGATCTCTTGAAATGGCTCGGAACAATTCCAGAGATACGCTTCCAGCGCCAAAAGGCCTTGCTCACCAGGGAGGGCAGAGCTTCTGTGGCTTTTGTTGCACGTTCGCTTTTGCCGGGGCCTTTTGTCCCGGCTTTGTTCGCTGTCAAGTCGAGGCATCGCACCTTGAACGCGGCTGACGCGAATTGAATCATCGATGACTGACTGACAGATGTGCATTCTTTGAAATTTTATTCCCTTTGTACTAGTAGTATCTTGTGATTCGTACTTTCGCTTGGCCACGTACCCGGACGTGAAGCTGCCGAAGCCGGTCTGCGATGCGAGCAACATTCTCGTCGGACAGGCCGTTCCTGAGACTTCCGAGTGGATCTTCGAGAATTTCCCTTTTCCCAAGGTGTGTGAGCGGAAAGCGACCTCCCAGATGAAAAGTGATTCCATGCGTGCTTTCACATGCTTTCACACGCTTTCACATGCTTTCACATGCTTCACATGCTTTCACCTCAGACCACGACCGTGAGAGATCCAACGTACCCAGCTGCCACGGCCTCAGCGTCTCACCGCTCGCGTCCAGCAGCAGCTCTGTTCGGGAAAACATCTCAGCAAGCTGCTGGGCGCCACTTCTGCCATATTGGCGCACAAGCCAGGACCTCGCAGACAAGGGTCTTAGAGATGTCTCGGGCGCGTTGGGGACCTTCTGCCTCTAAGGATGCCCAGCCTGGTGCCTTCAAAACCCCAAGCCGCCCCCAGCTCAGAAGTGTTAGACGGTCACGAGAAGCTCAAAAATCCTGGAGCCAGGTCTCGGAAGGAAACCATCTTTGTCCGAAGCACGAGGCCCGCGTCACCCCGTCACCCCGGCTCTACCCACGGCCGTCTCCGTTACTGGGCGCCCAAGCTCGATGCAGAGAAGCAGGTCATCCACATGCCGGTCTTGGCCTTCGACATCAAAAGCGGACATCAAGAGGCATCAAAACGTGAGTCAAGTAGCATCAAATGAAATGTGAAGATGGGCACCACAAGCACCACAAGCACCACAAGCCAAGGTCTGCACACATGTTGTTGCTCAGGATCACCTCCGGGCCATTGGTGCCTTCTCGAACGTGCTGCTGCACCTCGGGACGCTTCTCCTTGCACAAATGTGTTCCTGCTCCCTCGCGAACTGGCTCAGCGTGTCCAAGCGCTATGCAAATGCCATGTAGTTCTCTGGCTTCTCCGTGGCGTAGTCCCGCTGGTACCCCTGGTAGGCCTGGGGAACGTGAATGCAGGAGACACTTCGGACCTACTACAGGAACTGCAGGGAGCAAGCAGTCTCTGGGCGACTGCGCTGAATAGCTTGAGTAATACGAACCATCCTGAAAGGCAGACAAGCTTCAAACTTGAAGGCTAAGGAAACTGTTAATGGCTATTTGCATTTGATGGAGACTCAAGCTCGCCGGGCGGGCAGTTGGCCAGGCCTTTCAAAGTGCCAGGACATGCTGGCAAGCTGTTTGACTGTTTTGCTCTTATTCGCCTCGGCTTCCTGCCGAGAAGCGTCTGGAACAAGCAGACCCGGATCGGGCCTCCTTCCCCCTTCCCCCCAGCCCAAATTTTCTGACGCCACCCCCCCCCCCCCCCCCCCCGCCCTGTGGGACCCCCCCCAATCCCTTGGAGGAGCTGCAAACCGATGCCGTGGAGGGTCCCGCTTGTTGGTGGCTCCTAGCGGGAGTGCCTCAAAAACCCCCCCCCACCCCAACCCCCCCCACCCCCCCCACCCCCCACCACCCCCCCCCCCCCCCCCCCACCCCACCCCCCCCCCCCCCACCCACCCCCCCCACACCCCACCCCCTCACCCCCCCCCACCCGCTCTGCCCTTCCTCCCTTTTTTTGTGAAACCCTCTTTCCTCCTTTCCTGTCCTGGGGCCGGCCCGGCTGCCGAGGCGGCGCGCGCAAGCGTTTACAATTAGGTCTGGTGAGGCTGGGAGTGGGACGCTCCAGTTGCGGCCGTAACCTCCACAGGCACTCCCCCCAACAAGCGAAACGAGCCTAATTTTCTTCCTCAAGTTTTCTCAAGCCCGAAGTCCACAACAGGCGGCCACGCGCCTGAATGACTCCAGTAGCTCAGCGAGTACGCGCTGGCCGGGCCATACGCCTTCAGAACGGCGCACTGTGGTGTGGGCGGAATCAGGTGTACCTTTATGTAGCACCGCTATGCCCAACCCAGCTAGTCCGGTGGGCCTCGGCGGTTGTGGAGGTCTCGGGCTTCGTCTCTCCTGCAAAGATCTTTTGTCATGCCAGCGCAAAGCCATGCAGATCCAAAACAGCGAAGAAGCACTCCCAGGTGACCTCAATAAGCACTCCAAAAGCACTCTAAGAGCTCCAAGCGGCCCCAAAAGCGAACGACACCTCTGAACTTGACAGGGACAACACGGACCCACTGCGGACCCACATAGCAAGCTCTCTGTGGAACAACACGAGCTGCAAAACTTCCTTTAGAGACCGGAGGCCCAGAACGCAGAGGAAAGCACACACGGCCGCCGCATATTTTCGCGCGACGCGGAACGCTGCAAGCCTCAAGCCTCACAACATTCGCTCGGGATCTGCACGGAACGCGCTCAGGATGTAGGCGAGAGCGCGACTTGGCCCTCCACAAGGCGATTGCATGCTCGTTGCGATGAAAACGCATGTTGGCGGACCCCAAGAACTTTGGGCCTAAGTGCGGGCGCGCACGCCCACATTGGAACCCAGAAGTGTTGGCGCACGGGCTTATCACTGTTTGTAAGGGCAGAAGCAATAAGTGGCAATAAGGAAACAGAGGGGCGCTGAGAAAATGAAACGGAGGGGCGCCTTTGTCGGCGGAGCTGTGGGAGCGGCGGCGGCGCCGGGCGCGGCGGCTCGGCCGGCTGTCCCGGCGCCTTCGAGCCTCAGCCACAAAGTCCTCGAACTCCGATGTCCCAAAACAGCAAACAGATGCAAACAGCGAACGCAGTTCCTCGCCATTCCCCAAAGCAAGTCCCCAAGCAGTTCCCGACTTCCCTCTGCGTTGCTGACTCTGCGGTGTCGGCTTCGAGGGCTCCTGCTGAGAATTGAGTCTCTGCAAGCGGCTATACTGGCTATACTGGCTATACTGGCTGTACTCAGCTACTCAGCTTTGCCGATTCGCCTGCGGCTTTGGCTCCGCCTCTTTCGACTTGTGCTTTTGCTACTCTTGCGACTCTTGCGCTTGCTGCTGCTGCTCCTGCTCCTGCTCTTCCTGCTCTTGCTGCTTTTGCTGCTTTTGCTGCTCCTGTGGCTGCTTTTGCGGCTCTTGCGGCTCTTGCGGCTCTTGCGGCTCCGCGAGCTGCGGGTGCTGCGGCTTCTGTCAGAGCTGCTTCTAGCCTCAGCCACGTCAGCAACAAGGTGATGGTGCATGCAACTCAATGCTGTTCCCTATCAGAGTCCCATACTCTGCGAGCCATGCTTCCCGGGAACCATTGGAGTCACCTCCGGAAACCACAGAGAGCTTCTCCCAGCTTGACTCGAAACCACTACATTCAGAGGTTCACTACAAGGCTCACTGCCGTTGCTGATTGGATTGATTGGCCGAGCCCATCGCAGGATCGTGTCAATGGCAGGCGCCAAGCGCCCCGGCGCCATGAATAATATGCATGCCCAAACCGCTTAACGCATAGAATGATAGCAGTTAGTTTGCAAGTATCGAACGACAGCTACGACAATCCTCACCGCTCTAGGCTTGCTGTTGTCATTGGCTCGTTGCACGGTCGCTCTTCTGCACCAAGATTTGAGAATAGTTGGGGATCCATCAACCCTGCGAGCCACCCTGAGGCAAAGGCGATCTTCCATCTTTTCGTCTTTTCTGTCTTTCTTGGGGAGGGCGGAGGGGCAGCGGCACGGTATGGCACGGTTGCAAGGAGACGCGGAGGTCAAGGGGTGGGGAACTGCTCCTCACTCCCCGACTCTCCTTGCGAGTGACACTGAGTCGGTTCCCTTTTTGTGACTGGAGGCTAACACAACACATCACAACACCCCACCCCCCCCCCCAAAACACTGCACAAGACTGACGGGTCTGGGCCCATGGCCATGTCACGAGGCTGTTCCCTTCCCTTCCCCCCTTCCCCCCCTCCCCTCCAAAGTCCTCCCGGGGTCGGCCCGAAGCCCTTTTCGCAAACTCTCCAACCCTCACGAACGAAACCCGAGTCTACGCACCGCATTCCCCCACTTTGAACCTTGGTGCTCCCCCCCCCCTCTTCCTTTGCTCGCCTGCTCTGCCTATCTCCATCTCTCAGTACTGCATGTGCTCTCCACCTCCCCCTCTGCTGCCCTCTTGCGCTCCAGGTTGCGCTCTCGATGCTCCCCGGACGTCCTTTGTCAGGATGCGCAAATCAGTCCGAAGCCCCTCCCCCCGCCACGTGAAACGGCGCTTGTGAGCCGGTGTCTCAGCGGAGCTTTCTTTCTTTCTTTCATGGGGCACAAGGGTCAACCCCCTGCGCAATCTGCGCCCCCATCTTTGGTGGCCGATTTGAGACAAGAGCCAAGGCCCAGCCATGTCAAAAACAAGTGGAGTTTAGGGTCTCAGCAGAGCTCTCTCTCTCTCTCTTCCTTCCTTCCTTCCACAGCACATACTCTCTCTCTCTCTCTCTCTCTCTCTCTCTCTCTCTCTCTCTCTCTGCATTCTGATAACTCCGCTCAGGCAGCAGAGTGCAGAGAGGATGACGAGTGCATGCCATGAGACCATGGAACACTTCTTGGTCAGGTCCTGCAGTTGGCGTGGCTCCAGGTCTGGCATCACATATGGCTCATGCTTGGCCTGTCAGTTTCCTATGAGGTTCGAGCTTTCAGTACGGTTTTCTAGGTGCGAGTTAGTAGTCAAACAGCTGGGCTTTGCGTTGCGTCACAGTTGCCTGGGTCCGGGCTTCTGAGATCTGTCCGAGTGCTTTGTGCTCGTCTTTTTTCACAGCAGCGCCGCATCATGTGCTCCCAGCAGTCGCCTCCTTGCATTGCGGGTTGCTTGTACCATACACTTCGGAGTCTACCCGTCCACTGAATCCAGTCTTGTACTCAATAATTCAATCGCACCCCCATTCCCGCCCGCCCAACAACTCTCAATGTATGTCTGTGAGGCATTGAGAACGTGCAAGTGCTAGGACTGTCAAGATTGCAACGCTAACGCCACCAGCCTGACACTCCTCGGGCTTTATGTCCAGCGTGTCTATCGCAGCATCCGCGTCCTGCACGATATGAATTCATTGCTGGCGACATGCACTCTAAGTGCCATCCACCACTTGAGAATTTCAGAAACGACGGTCAGACGGATCTTGAGTTCGGCCCATAAAGCGACATGCAGACACGCATACACCCACCTCATAAAGCATACACCCGAAAACTCCACGTGGGATGGAGAAAAAGACGCGCACCCTTGTGAGCGCGTGGTAGCAAAACGGATGCTAAGTGGCCATGCAACGCTCGGCACATTTTCCTCCAGCCCCAGAAGGGTCAGCAACTCGGATTTCCGCTCCTGCCAGGGCTCGACTGCAAATTCCTCTGCCAACGACAAGAAGAGCAGGAGCAGTGGGCAGCAGACAGGCTAGTAGACTAGTACGGGCATCACCTGCGATCCACTGGAACAGTGAGGTTTTTCTTGTGCGATGGTGTGCACGGGGAGCCATGGCGGTGATGAGAGGAGCTTCAACAGCCGACAGTATCCGACAGTAATTCACAGGCCAAGCATTGAGAGTTGACTCCCTGCTTCATCGGCAAAAGAAGCCTTCAGCTTCTTGATCTCTGCCTGGACCGTCTCGATCTGCGAGCACAAGCTGATGCGTTGACCAACGTCAGATGGCGGAGCTCCTTTTTCATGCTGCGAAGTTCTCAGTGCGAGAAGTCGAGAAGATGCAGGCACTGCCTGAGGTTGCTTGAGATGGCCATTGCAGACGCACAGCCCTTCTGCGGACAACCCTTCTACATCACCCTACCCTCCCTACACCTGCTTGCCAACGATCTTGCCAACCTTCCCTAACCGGGTGCTTCAACAGGGGGTGGTGATCAATTTTACTTCCAGGTGCTCACACTGCAAGGCCTCTTTTGGCCTAACGTCACCCACAATGCCTTCTTGAGGCACTACTGGCAAGCGCTCAGGGGGCGGAACTCCATGTCCCGCACAGCGTCCTTGTTCAGTGGGGAGCTTCGTCACTTCCGCGCTGCGGGCGCGGCGAACACGGCACTGAGTCGGTTGAGAGCAGTTCTGGTCGGCACTCGCTCACCGGAACGGATTTCCATTGTTGCGAGCTTCTCGGAAAGGATTGCGGGCATTGACCTTCAGGGCAACATAGAATCTACAGGCACTGCACAGCTTTGCACAGGAGGCAAGCAAGTCTTCACGCTTTAACATGGGTGCAGAATGGCCTCAGCCTCAGGCGACGGTCTCTGAGCAAATGGGTTTGAACCCTTTGCCAACGAACTGGCAGCAGATGCAGCACCACTAGCGCCCGCTTTCAGCCCATTGGCAACTTGTGACGTCACGTGGTGCTGTTGTTCGAAGTCTCGCGCCTTCGTGTACGCCGCCTTGGCACCTTCCCCGATCTTGTCGGTGACGCCGTACTTCTGATTTGCATCACGTGCAGCTTGGAACGTCGCCACCGTAGCACCAGCTACTTTCGAAGTCACGTGGTGCTGTTGTTCGAAATCTCGCGCCTTCGTGTACGCCGCCTTGGCACCTTCCCCGATCTTGTCGGTGACGCCGTACTTCTGATTTGCATCGCGCGCGGCTTGGAACGTCGCCACCGTAGCACCAGCTACTTTCGAAGTCACGTGGTGCTGTTGTTCGAAGTCTCGCGCCTTCGTGTACGCTGCCTTGGCACCTTCCCCGATCTTGTCGGTGACGCCGTACTTCTGATTTGCATCACGTGCAGCTTGGAACGTCGCCACCGTGGCACCAGCCACTTTCGAAGTCACTGTGTGCTTTTGTTCGGAGTCTGGTGTCTTCGAGGGTGCACCTTCGGCGTCGATGTTGGCGATACTGTGGTCAGAGTGCATCTCGGATGGTCGAGCAGCGTCCTCGCCAACAGGTGAGTTCGGCTCCGTTGCCAGCATCGCGGCTGAGAAAACGGAAGTACCAGCCATTGCTTTGGGACTCATCTTCGAAAACTTGGCAGGAGTTGCACCATCCACGTCTCGCCCATCTGGCAGCACAGTAAGTAATGCTTTACTCTCGTCGTCCTCGTCCAGCAGCTTCAGCACCCTCGGTGATCTCTTGAGGGCCTGCATCCACCTTTGGGGAATGTGGGACGGGGTGAGTGGGAGCGATCTTCTCTCACTGATACATCATGCGAATCATGCCCTATCATGCTGTATATCATGTCTTTATCACTGCGACCTCTTCCCCGCCTATCAGAGGAGAGGAGCGCCTTTAGACACTCATCGATGCGTCTCTTCCGAACTGGGCTACGTCGCCGTAACCTGAGATGTGGAGCTCTTGACATTGTCATCTTCCGATGCTTACTGTTTTCATTTTCCGATGCTTACTGAAGGCTTACTGGATACATCCGAATACACTTGGGGGGCCTTCCCCCAGCGAGCCGCGTCAAGAGGAAGAGCCAGGCATCCTCCACGCCCTCCGGGTCCGCAAGGCGGGTGTCGGAGTCCAGGCAGTCGCTCCTCGGGCACACAAGAAAGAGGAGCTTAGAAATGCTCGCAGTCGACAACGATGCTCACGACGAGTGGAGGAGCGACGCAAGCCTCAAAAAAACGACAAAAATGGGAAGCCCCATGAACAGCGCTAGCGCCCACGCCTGGGCCAAAGTGCGGTTTCCATCCAAACTCAAAAACATGAACAGGCCGCAAAGCGAGAGCCAACGTTCCCATTCCCTCTTCACAGTTGAGCTCTGTCTTCTTCCGGGCATGAGGAGTTTCGGGAGGATCTAGGAGAAGTCCTGTCTCCTCACACATGGCACGGCCTGGGTGCTCAGTCTGAGGTCGGTGTGAGCCAGAGAAAGCACGCGCACCCGAGCGGATTTTGGAACCAGAAGGTGTGAACACTGAACCCTTCGGGCTCTCTCTCTCTCTCTCTATATGCTCCTGGCGCTTTGGATGCAGCATCGCCGCAGCAGCTCGAAAATGGTCTCACGACGGTTCTCCCATGATCTGCACATGCACAGGTCGCGGCGGCATCTTGCCAGTATTGGCTTTTTCGGGTTCCCCATGGTTCCCCTATGGTTCCTTCTTTGTTTCATGCAGAGCCTGTGATTGTGCATGATGTCCGAGACCTCACGGAGTAGCTCTGCCAAAGAGATATCGCTCGGGATGCCGGATGAGCTGCGTTGGTCGCTTCGGGCCATGGCCAAGGCCCGGGATGTGACCCAAGACCCAGAGCAAAGCAAGATTCTGGGGTTTTGCTTGCATCCCCTCCTTTCTTGTCCTTGTGGCGTGTGCTGCGACTGCTGAGCTACTGTCAGTCTGGAACCAGCGTCAGTCAAGCAATCATTGTTCTTCCCTGCGGTGGCTGCAACAAAAACTTAGCTAGCCATTGCATTCTCCACATCGGTGACAGCCGCCTCTTCAGCAATGGAGCTGGCCCGCTGACCACCCTGCAACGAGGCCCAAATTTTGCAAAGTCCAAAGTCGTTACACTCCGCACCTGCTCTGGACCGTCTAAAGACTTTGTCTGCTCACAGAGCCACCTCCACAGAAGCAGCTGACACGCATCCGTTCGCGGAGCCCATATGGGCGCATGAGCCTAAGCATAAAAAACGAAGGATCGTCTGGGCGCTCCAGTAGAACTGCGGTCACCAGAGCCTGTCGCAAATTTAGAAACGACCCGTATCCTGCATATTGTGCTTTAGGAAACCTAATTGAGAAGCTCCGATGCCTCCAGCACTGGGTTTACCTTCTCTTGTATGTACCTGGGTGACAACAATCACGAATGGACAGCTGCACATGGACTACACAGTACACAACTGATGCCGAGAAACATCAGGTGCTCTTGAGCAGACCTGTTGACAAATTGTGCTCTGTCTGACCTGGCAAAAGGCATGCCTTGTGCATGCCGCACTCAAACTACCCACTGCCTGCACAGATAGCACAAAACTCGGCAGTGCAAAAACTTAAGCACGTCGGGCGCCACATGCTTCACAACAGACACGCTGCGATCGCGATAGCAACAGCCATGAACCTACTAAACATAGCTAACCTAATGCTGTGCCAAAAAGGTTGTGACAGAAGAGGTCATCAGGATGCTCCAGGACAGCCGAACCCACCAGGAAGAGTCGTGAAAGGTTTCGCTGGGATCCCAGACTCTTTTCCGACGAGCGGAAACACATGGTTCAGGGTGAAACAAACGCTGCTAACGTTTCAAGGCAGTCTCGGATCTACCTCTCAGCGTCGGCCCTTCTTCCTCCCCCCGCCCTGCTTACTGCGCCGCTTCTTGCTTTGCGCAGCCGCGTTGGAACGCGCCTTGGTAGGATGATACAGACATGACAGGGAAACTCACGCCACCAACACAATTTCAGTGGTCCCTCAAGCTCCTGAACACGTGGACAAAGCCCATCTACAACTTTGGCTCCCGCATCATTGCGGCGTTCACGCGTCACGCCTACCTTCGGAGAAGACAAGCAACTCAAACGCCTGCCACTGCTTCATACTGCTACCAGCGAGAAGAGCCAGAAGAGCCATGCCATGGCACCGCGCCTTCGCCGCCTTGTTTTTGTCGAGGTAGCCGTCGCCAGAGAGCACTCGACCTACTGTCTTGAGGTAACTGTCCTGGAGCTCGGGTCACCCTTTGCCATCCGCTTCTGTGCGTGCCTTAAACTCCGAAACCAAACGCTTCGGGCAGTCCTTCTCAGCATCGCCGCTGACAGGCGCAGTTCCCTTCTTGCGCTTGGGCTGCAGGTTTGTCGCCTCTCTCTTTGGCACGGCTTCTTCTGAATTTCAAAACCCAAGGATCAAAAAAGAACCTTAAAAACTGACGGCCTCGTTGGGTGCCGTCCTGTCAAACTTCCCGAAGGAGGCGGACGACACCTGCTTTTAAGGCAAGCGCAAGGGGCCAGTTAGGGCCAGTGAGGGGGCCCTATCTCAAGTGCTCAAGCGCTAGCCACTGCTCGTCCGACCTGCGCTCGTTTGACTGCCTCTCTCAAGCCATCCTTCCCCCTCTTCCTCGGGTGCGAACACAAATATGGGCCCCAGTGAAAAATTTGAGATTTCTCTGCGTTGCGCGTAGGCTGTGGCTAAGATCGCATCTGGCTGCCAACGAGGTCTGGCACGCTCGCGCGCAGCTTGCCTGGCTCCAGGGATTCTGAACTGTCCACTCTCCGAGAACGATGACAAAAGTGCCTCCTGCAGCTTCCACTTGGTTTCGAACCTTGGATACCGAGCTCAGGAAAATCAGATGAAAGCAAACAGCTAGACGTCGAAAAAACTTAAAAAATGCGCAGACTGCGGACACTTTTGCTACCCGAGGAGCTTCCCGCATCTTCTGACGTGCTTTCAACAGCCTCTGTTCTGCCTTGGCCTCAGAGAGAAGCTGCCACATCGATCAAAGAAAGAGAGAGAGAGAGAGAGAGAGAGAGAGTGAGCGAGAGAGAGAGAGACAGAGACAAAAAAAAGAGAGAGGGAGAGAGAGAGAGAGACAGAGAGAGCAGAGTCGCTGCTAGTCGGCTACAAGTCTTACGAAGGCTATGGGGGGTTCTATGACTGTTCTATGGGTCACACAAATCATATGCCGAAACACAAACCACAATTCGGAGAGCAACGCTCTGCGATGCTCTGCCAGCCCACGCCCGGGATAGATCCAAAAACGATGCTTTGCTGCACTTGCCCGTTCGCTTTCGCTGCAATCTAGATCCTCAAGGTTGATGGCTGGGCAAACCGCACATGTGACGAGTACGGTATCTACTGCTGCGCGATGTGGGGGGCTCACTAAGAACAAGTGATGCCACTCGCAGGTTCCGTCAAGACATGCAGTGCAAACACATCCACAAAAGAAGGAAAGCTCTCCCTTCGGGCCCCAGCTTTATCGAAAGGATTCTCGTTGGGATCCTCATGCTGGCCAACCTGCCAAACACAACGCAAACTCGACGTCAACTCGACGTAAACTCGACATAAACTCGACATAAACTCGACATAAACAGCCAAACTTGCAGCTCTTTGGGCACCAGGCCTCGTGCACCCAGTTCGCCTTGTCCTGGGATTTCTTGATGCTCTTGTAACCTTGCGGGGCATCGTTGGAACACTTCTGTTCGCCTCTTTGCCTTGCTTTTGGGCTGTGGGCTCCTTGGAACTCACAGCACCGCAAAAGTATCTTGGATGATTTTGCCGAGAGGTTTGGACCTCAGCACCGCACCCCAACGAGGTTTCCAATCCCCTTCGACCTGAAAATTCAAAAAGCAAAGTGTCGAGAAGAGCCTGAAGCCACATGGGCCACAAGCCAAACATGTGTATGTGAAGCCGCGATGGACACAGGCCGGGGCCTCGTCCCAAACCAGCCGACTCCGCTTCCGCTTCTTCATATTCCGCTCCTGCCAGCTGAAAAGCCCCCTGCCCTTGCAGCCCCCCCCTGCATCCCCCCCTTGCAGCCCCCCTTGCAGCCCCCTTGCAGCCCCCTTGCAGCCCTCAACCACCCCCGAGACGCGCCACACGCGCAACACAACTGGCACCTCCATGAACTTCTCCCACCTGGTCTTCGCCTTCTCTTTTGGCACCGGCTTCGACCGGGGCAAGCGGAAAACTTCCTGGCACGTTTGATGTCGCAAACGAACATTGCATGGACCAACCCTCACACAGACAACACGGCATTCAGAGGCGTCCTCCATGGGCAGTGAAACCATCGTCCCCTCATCACCCTGGCTGCTGAACGAGACGAAGGTATATGAAGAAGCCATTCGCGATGACAAGCATGAATAAGTCCCATTAACCCTCGAGAAGCTCAGATAAACAGATTGCTTCCATGAACGCATTGTCCTGCTTGCTTGTTTACTCTTACCACGAACCTAAGGCCTTCCATTGCCAAGTTAGAGAATGCAGAGCTGTTGGTCATCAAATTGTTTTCCAGTAACCCTTAACCCTTGCCTTGCTGAAACCCTGAAAGCGAAATCATCCTCATCCAACCCAAGCATCCCGCAACCTCTTCACTTGAACCTCGCGATCCGTCTCCTCCAACTTATAAGGCTTGCGTCTTCTCAGAAGCAGCTAGCGCCTTCGTTCTGGGAAGCGCGAACAGCTTGTTGACCAAGAGCCTGCACCAAGGTCTCATGCAGCGTTCGAAGAGCAGTGAAGCCCCTTAAGCCCTCCTCAAGGCAACAGATGCAAAAGAAGAACTGTGGAATAACATGGAATAACACTCACACACTCAGCAGGGCTTCAGTGCAGCCACAGAAAGAATCACCTATGACATCCCGGCATCGCCAAACTTGTTTATGTGAGGAGTGCTTCTTGGCTCCCTACTGCACAGAATCCCGGCTGTAGGCAGCAACATCTGTCCCTGCTGACCTGGAAAAGGAACAGATCGCGGCAGCTCAAGATTTACAGGGAGCCAGGGATGCACACACGGGCGAGATGTCATAAGCCGCCATGTTCTTCAGGTCATAGGTCAGGTTGTCTTCCCTCTTGGACACCTGCTTTGTTTCGAAACTCGCATGCACTCACACACACCAACACACCCGTGCGCCAACATCTGCTTGGCCCGACCGCTGGGAAAACAGGCGCGACATCCTCGGACATCCCTTCCCCCCATACCCCTGGCAAAGGAAACGAAAAGATCTTTGTCAAGCACTGAGCTTTGAGCCAAAAGGCACATCGTGCAAGAAAGAGGACACGGGAACATCAACGATCATGTGATACCCATGGCCATACCACCAGCCAGTGTGACCAAATCAGCGGCTGCTGCGTGTCGGACGTATGAGCAAGAACGAGCCGTTGCATGATGTTGAACGTCACGGATGGACGAACACAAATGCGCACTGGACGATTCCACGACCGAAACTCCAGCCAGTGAGACCAACTAACCCACATGTTCACTTGACGAGCCCGCGAACCTGACTGTAGTGTTGCACGCAGGGCACCCACATGTATCTTGGACGACCCATGACTGCAACACAAAACAGTGTAACCAAGCAGCGCAAAACAGTGTGACCAAATGGACACTTGCTGCATTCGGCGCATGGACTAACCCCAACGGACGTAGCAGAGGCCAGTGTGACCACCAAAGCTGCTCGACGAAGTGCAAGACTAAACACACATGCACAAGGACGACCAGGGACCGCAACACCCGCCACAGAAAGCAATCAAGCCCCACTTCCATGGTTTCAGGGGCTTGAGCTCGGGGTACGGAGCAAACAAACAAAAAAACCACCATGTTGCAGCTACTTTCCGATTGCGCGCGCGTCTTTGGGCTCCAGGCCTGACCTTGCTTGTGCCCACAGGCTCAAGATCGCAACCTCACACCCACGGATTGCAACCTCACACCCACGAAACATCCGATTTCATCTACTAGCAGACCTCACGCTTGCTGCTACCCTCCATGACTGATGCTGGGACTCAAGTTGCGACGTGCCGTCCACAACCAACTTGTAGAATCTGACGATTTCGCCATGCAGCGGGGTCGCAACCGCGCTGGTTATACGCAACGCCCTGCATGCCAAAGCTCCACTCCACGCCTGGGCTTACAGCGCGTGCCAGTTGCAGAGCAGACGCTGTTTCCAGCAAACCGTCAGGCCGGGGCACCGCCGTGTGACAGAGCTAGATGCAACGGTAGGGGAAGCCACCAAAAACGCAAGTAGACTTCAATCATCACCTTGACACTCACTGATCAAGTTGCCACACGCGCAGGCGACGATTGCAACAAGCATTTGCTTCGTCGCCCAACACGTGCAGCGAGGGGACACGCGCGCACACACTGAAGCACGTTGGCTCGAGCTGGCTGGCGCAGAAAACAAGCCATGACACTAGAATCTGCAACAAAAGCACAAAGAGACAAGCCTAGGGTGTGTCCCTGAAACACGACCTAAGGCGGGAAGCAGCACATGTAAACTGCCACGCCCCCACGACCACAACGCCCTGCATGCTGCGCATGGACGAACATAGATGTGCTTCAATTTGTGCATGGACTGACTGACTCACCTGCACACTGGACAACCCCCAATCGAAACACCGGCATCATGGATGAGGGAACGCTGCCGCATAAGATCAGACATCCATGTGCGTCTTGTATGTTGACCACATCGCACGTGAACGGAATAACCTGAAGGACAGCAAGTGGGCTGCAAGCGATCTTTCTTGAGAGCCGTGTCAAGCACTGCCGCACAATGATTGATACGACAGGCTTGCTCTGTCAGCAGTTTCAACTAGACCTACACCCCCTAGCCTGGATAGAAAATGATAGAAAACTGTTTGTGCGAGCAGGTCGCACAGGCTGCGAAACACATTGTCGCATGGCCCGACTGTGAAACAAACTCACTGAGTATTTGGATGCAGCGCCCAGCTGGCCAGATTCAAATTGATTCACTACTGGATGCCCGGCGCTGGCTTGGGCGCTTTGTTCTTGATCTGGCAGAAGCAATCAAATACAGACACCGGAATAAAGAGAAGACTGCACGAACATGCTTTGTACCCTCTTCGTCGCTCAGCACTCTCCACTGACCTTCCCAAGCGGATCCATCTGCTCATTCGGCGAGTTGATGATCTGCTTATGGAGAAGCGCACGTTTGGATTGTGGGAAACCCTTACAGCGCCTTGTATTCCATCTTCTCCCAGACAGTACCATCATCCCACCTAGCGGGATAAACTCTGGGCTCTGAGTTTAGAGGAATTCCTGTACTGCGAATGTACTACTGACTAGTTCTCAGGCTCCAACTCAATGCCTTTGATGTCAAGCTTCCGGTTGCTGAACCACTTTCCAGTAGCCTTCTTTCCTCCTTTCTGCTTGAAGGGAACCTGAATGTCGTTCCCGTCATACCTCCAAGGTGTGCTGCCCATGCTGCCCATTCAAATTATCAAAGAGATCACACGGAAACAGCAACAGTGATCAGCTGCGTGCGTTTCATGCTGCCCTGTCTTGCGCCCTCCATTTAACGAAAGGAATCCCCCGCAAGTCTTCTCTCTCGGGCACTCCGCGAGGCACTCCCAGACATCGCCCGTCGGAGAGTCCTGAGAAGCGAGGGTTCTTCGATCCTTCGTCTGTTGTTTCGTCATTGCTTCTTGCTTGTGGATAGTCTCTCCTGTTCTTGAATTTTCATGCTCTTGCACCTCCTGCAGATTGTCGATTGATTTGGTTGGATTTCACTACATGTCGTGGGATCCTGATCACCGTTACCTCCGTGACTAAGAAATCTCAAAACACCCAGAACACACCGTCAGTGATGTGAAGTTGCCCGCCTCAGTATTGCTATTTTCGCCCTATCCGTGGAAAGACGAAAAGAGGTGAACTGGTAAACAGAGATAAACCATCACACAGCATCTGAGCGCAAAATTAGGAAGGCAGAAAAGCGGTGAAAAGCTGAAAGCGCACGAAAAGCCGAAAGCGCACCATCCAGGATCGTCAACCTGGCCTTGCCCAGGACTGTGGCATAGCCACCCAGCGCATCAATGTTCCGCAAGCAGGTCTCAAGATCAGCAGTCTCAACACATCTCAGACACATCTCAACACATCTCAAGACATGCGTGATCGAGTTTCCATGTCACAGACATCTGAAAGTTCCTCAGCTCGGAGCGCCCTCCGGAGTCCCTAACTCGACCTCCGGAAGAAACACGACAAACTGGCAAAATAACAAAAAAAAAACACGGACGCTGCCAGCACCACACGGTACACTGGACAACCCCCCCGACACTGGCGGCACCTCCTTGCAGTCTCGGCTCGTGTCCAGGAAGGAGCCATCCCACTTCTCCGTGCTAAAGCTGCTCTGCGCCTACACAAGACTTCAAGATCACTCGGAAACTCTGAGCGTGATCAAGACTTGACCCACAGATGTGCATAGCTGCTACAATACTTATGCTCTGATTTTGACGGTCTTATGGTGGCTTCACCACGACGGCCTGCGCAGACTGGCCGACTAGACCTGAAGCCAGATCTCGACCAAAAACGCACAGCAGGAAGAGGGAGGAAGAGGGCTGTTGCCTAGCAGAGGGCCCACTGACCCCAGCAGCAATCGCCGCCTACCTGCGGGCACTCGCGGGCATGGTTGTGCTAGTTGTCGTTCTTCAGGGTAGTCCTACTGGTGGAGGCATGGACTGCACAACCTCTTCACTTGGGCACATGGCATCAATGCGTATCGAGGCCGATGCAACTAGCAGATACCGCAACCTCAAGCAACCTCAATCTACTTCCCAAACTTGCCCCACTTCAGCACATGACCATGGGCAGTGTGCCCCGTGTCTCCTTATCATTCCCGAGAGACAAACTAGGCTTGGAGTTGCTGCTTCTAGCCGCTGCTAAGTCCAAGCTTGGGTTACTAACAACGGCTCTCTTGTGCCTTCTGCACAGCTCAGCGGCACGAAGAGGGGTCCAAGCCTGAACGGCACTTGGGAGTTCTAAAACAGGCCTGAGCTGGTGCTACGAGGCGCTGCTAGCTGCGACCCGCCTAATGTGGGTCAGGCATGAAACTGCCAAGGAGATCGCGAGAAAACACCTCCCAGCCAAGCACACACCGCGAATCTGGCCATGCTTCAATGTATGATGAAAGAGCTTGATGCAAACTGAACACAATCATGACACTACTTGCAGAATCTTGAAGATGTGCCTTGTAGAGCGGCGCATCGTGCCTTCAGGCTGAACGGCAGATGCGCAAGGCGAATCAAAACCCTGTGCGACATTCCGCATCGTGGGATGTGTTTGCAGCGTGAACATCAGACCAAACCAAATTTGCTCTGGGATGCTCTGGGGCCCTCAGTTGGGGCTCCACGCTGGCGCGGCGCCGCGCTGGCGCGGCGCCGTGGAAGAGGAGGGGCTACTTTTCTTCTTGGAGCCGCTGCGGGAAGATGCCAGCCATGCACATATAAATCCACACACACACACACAAAGAGTGAAAGCAGACTTTGGGGGGCTGCGAAAGGGCGGCGGATGCTGGGAGGGCTCCATTGGGTGACACTTTAGGGTGCACAGCGAAGCTCTTCAGCGAAGCCTCTTCAGCGAAGCTGGGTCTATCTGGGTCCCGTCAGACGTGAGACTTCATCCGACTCCCCAAAGCACTGCGTCAGATTGGTACTGGATCTCCTTCTGGTCTCATGCACAACGACGAGGCCACCCAAACCACCCAAACAAACAAAAAGCGCGTCCTCCCGGAACGCTGCGGCCAGCAGGATCATGCAGCAGGCCATGTGCCAGGAAGAACAGCAAGTACATCAACGCCTTGAAAGCTTCAGGAATCGAAGGGACTCGGCAGTTCCCAGGGGCATCCAAGCGCCCTGCGGCATTGAAGATCACTCCACCAACCCACAGGAGCAAAACGATTGTTGTGATCGCCGCCTCAGCATCCGGGGGTTGCGAAAGCCGACCAAAGATGATGAATGAAGTGGGGCTCACGAGCAGTAGCCATCTCTGCAAAGGTGAGAGGACTACCTCAGCATCGAATTGAAAGAGAAGGTGCTGCAAGCACAAAGTCTTCCAAAGTCCAGACGGTGCATCCTCAGCTGCCGACACCTCCTAGTTTGGGTGCCCAGTCTGGATCCTCGTTCTTCTTCAAGAACAACACCCACGTAATGACCTGCACATGACACCCATCGAACGTGCTTGTAGTTCTGCGTAGCCGGGCTCATCTTGCCGAGTGTGTGGCAGTGACTATGATGCACATCAAGGCAGACGGCTGGAGAATGACAGAAAGAACCAGTTGAACCTCGCGAGGAAACACCGGATGCATCCCGATGCACTGAAAGCAAGGGCACGGACCACAAAGAGGATTGCATAGTTCGTCTGGTAGTTGAAGACGTTCGCCTCGATCTAACTCAGGAGCCGCGCGCAGAATAGCAATTCCTGACTGAGCCATGAGCGGAAATCCGCGAGCAGCCTTCGTTCGCAGACGGAACCTGGCGATGCGATCCACGAAGTCACAGGTGTTCTTGAGTTCTACAGTTCTACACGAAATGAAATGAAAGTCAAGTCGGAGAGGCGGAGAGCGGCCACACGAACTGCCGCCATGGCCTGGGACTTTTCTCGCACAGAGAGAGAGAGAGAGAGAGAGAGAGAGAGAGAGAGAGAGAGTTCGGTGTGTTCACATCAACTCGGGTCTACTACATCCTTGTCAAACCCTTCAGACACTTCTGAAAACACACACATCTGTCTCTTGGATGCGAACTGCGCTTTAGACATGAAGCTGCTAGCCTCCCCGCATGTCCGTGAGGAGGTGTGCTCTGAGACATTGCTTTGTCAAAGAATCATGGTGGGAGCGCGCGCCTGCTCCTTGACCTCTGCAAATGCACAGGACATATCTTGACATGCTCTCATCACAACCCGACTTGCTAACTGAATGCCATATTGCAATCCAGCCACAGATCCTAGGGAGGTAGGGACTGCTGCGCCAACGACTTGCTCAGTAGAAGCACCTCACCCAGAGCTCAAAAAGCTCAGTGCATCTCTGAAGATTGCGGAGACTGGTGGTTGAAACATTTTGCCAGGGATCTTGCCAATGACGCCTCCAAACATTGTCTGCAACAGGCTCAGCCGGCCTAAGGCAAATGGCAAACTGCAAGATGCGCGCAGAGGTTCAAGATCCAAAAATGCACCTGTTCACAGCTCCTCACCTAACAAGCCTGCGAAGCCAGAAGCATGAGCAGAAGGATCAGCCTCAAACATGAACTTGGACAAACTTATTGCAGCGATGCCGGAAGAAGCAACCTGAGCTTCACGCAGGTTCTTTGGCTGTTGTACCAGCGGGTGGTTCCTGCTTGCATACCACTACAATGTCACTACACTCGCTGCAGCGCATTGGATTCTACGGCCGCCTCGAACCCTCCAAAAGACATCGGCTGCCTCGGGACTGCGAGACATCGTTATCTGGTATGTTGTTGAAGCTTCGAGCAATTCCTCAGCTGCCGACTGCAAATTCACTGTTGCTCTTGTGCCATTGTAAAATCCTGCCAAATTTCAGGTGCTTCGGTCTTGCTCAGGAGCCTTTGAGGGCTTTGCTTAGCATGGCCTTCGAGATCCGCATCAAATTTCACGTCCTGGAAAAGCTGGTCGTCCTCCATCCTCCGGAACCAGCACACTGAGCACACAACGTTGGAACGCGATCCATTTTTTCGGGATTTTGGACCCCTCGCGCCTGCATTCAGGAGGCGTGGCCAGCAGGAAGCCGTGAGAATTATTGCATATAATTGCTTCGCCAACTTTGACATCGACAGCTGCGGCCATGAATGGGATTTAAGCCTTCTCCACCTTCACTTAAAGGCAAAGTTGAAGGGACAACGCACAAACTTGTAAACATGCGCAATTTGAATTCTCATTCACCCGCGATGCTCGGAGTAGCATGGGCTGGCTCCGTGCAGGAACATGTGAGACGGCCATCTTCCTTTTCCACTATTTCGGGATATCGAGAGGGCAATGGATTTTGCGCTCTGGCACCGTGCAGATGCAGTGTGAGCCCTCGTCCTCTGAGGATTAAGTCAGTGCAAACGGATAGAACTTGAACCCCTGCTGCCGCTGCGCGAACATTTGGCAACCTTGCACGGCCAAAGAGGGTTTTCCGATAACATTTAACGTGCAAGAGTCGGCAGGCAAGAGGATGATGGTTGTTTTGTTTGTGAATCCACAGCTCGGCTGGTGTGAAATCGCTCTTAAACGCAAACGGTTTCTCAACCTTGGAGCTTTTGGGGTCCGGACATGCTCGAAGGCATGTACTTCCACGCACGGGGCTATCACCATGATCTACACTAGGGGGGAAAAGCAATGGTAGTGCTGCATGGGCCCCTTTTCCGGTTCCAGCTTGTTTTGGGCAACGTAAACTTTTCGTTGGGACGCATCGAGGCCAACCACAAGGATCTTGGGACGTCGGCAAATGCATTTGTTCCAAAGGGTTTCCTTCAAAGGAAGGTGTTTTTCCCCAACAGCAAAGCGATGTATGGGGTCTCCACCCTTGGGTTCTTGGAGCGGGCTCCGGCGCTGGTTCCGGAGCGGGCTGTGGAGCCGGCTCTGGAGCGGCTTCAGGGTTTTTTTCTGAACCGGAGCGGGTCCAAAATCGGCTCCACGTTTCCATGGGAAATCCTGGCAAGAAAGAAAGACAAGAATGAATGAAGGAAAAATGAAAGAATGAAAGAGCGACAACAAAAGGAGCGACTCTGAAAAACATCAGCGATTGTTGAAGTGCGAACATGTTAAAAAACGGGCTTTCCTAAGGGGTCCTGCACTACAACCCGGCGGCACACTTTTCCTTGTGCTCGCTCTGCTGGGCCTGTGTCTCTGAGGTCTCTCTGAGCCTACACGTCACAGATGTTTCAATCTGTTCCTGAGCATTAACATGCACTGCAAACTGTGTGTTCCTACCGGGCTGGAATGTTTAACACCCCGCCTTCGAAGTCAGTGAAAGTCGTCAGACTAAGCTGGTTTCGACTCTCTCTCTTTTCCTGGCAAAACACACAAGTGCTAAAACTCTTTCCTCAACGCAGACTCTTTCAAGTCCACTCGCGAATCTCTCCAAGTTCGCTCGCAACATTTCCTTCAAACGAAAGGTCTACTATCCTGTACAAAAACAAACTCTCGCTGTTCCTACTCTCTTGAATCATCATCCTGAAACAAACTGCAAAAGAAAACTTTCCTGAGCTAGGACGGATACACCATCCTTTCTGCTCACTGCCAAGCTCACTGCTCTTCTTCGTCCTTGCTGCTCTTCTCTTCCTGTCTCCTGCTCTTTGTCTTTTCCTTTGGGCTCTTCTCTTCCTTTGCCTTTTCCTTTCCTGGACTTTCCTCTTCTGTGTCAATCCTGCATCGCTTCCTCTTTGGCTGAGTGCCTTCTCAAGCCTTTCAATCCTTTTCTCTTTCCTCCATAAGCAAGATGGCTGCTGCTTCCTTCTCTGCTGCTGCTGCGTTCTTCCTCTGTCTCTCCTCTTCTTCCTTTGCCTTGACTGCTGCTGCCTTTGCTTCCTTTGCTTCCTCTGCTTCCTTTGCTTGCTTGGCTGCTGCCTCTCGCGCTTCCTTCTCTTCCTGTGCCTTGGCTGCTGCTGCCTTTGCTTCCTTCCTTGGCGCTCTTTCCTCTTCAAGTCTCCTGTCGTTCTCCTCTGCTGCTGCTTCCAAAGTCTTCCTCAGCCTTTCCTTCAGATCCGCTTTCTCCTTTGAGAGTGGCTCCTGGCTTCCTGATCCTGAGCTTATCTTTCCTTCTTCTTCTCCTCCATGGCCTTTCTTCTTCTTGTTCTTTCCTTGTCCTTTCTCTTTCTCGTGCTTGTAGGCGTAGCGGTAGTCGCACCAAATCCCCGGTGTTTCAGTAGTTTTAATGGCGGTTCCAAGATCTGGATATGTGGTCCAAAGGTGCTACAGGATTAGGGCTAATTCCCCAGTTCCAGAAGCTCCTCATAATGCATCATGCGTGAACAAGTCTCAAGACTCAGCCGTTCCTTGACAGATGATTCACCATTAGTATTGTGTCCCAAAGGTTTGGATGATTGGTGCGCGTGGGTGATTCTGATGTCGGCTGTCATGTGTGACGCGTGAACCCTTGGAAAGCATTAGTGACAGAGGTTAATGTTCCCTTTAACACGCGAGTCTTGGAGATGGAGATAGCACCCTGAGAATGAGGCTTGCGGTCAAGAGAGTTCCTGTCACGTAGAAAGACTCATGATGGTACGGTTTCTAAGTCAAGATGGTACGTTCACGAGGGTGTAATTCTTGGACTGGAAAATACTGGTCTGTCAAGGGTTTTCTAGCGGTTAAGGCGGTTAAGGGGGCATGAATCCCAGGGTTAACCGTGTGAACGTATGGGCGACTCCAAAGCCCCAATAATAATATTAAATTGTAAACTTGTGCACGAATTTAATATTAATATTGCACGGGCTTTGATTCGCCCATGTGTTCACGGTTTCGTTCACTGTCTTCATTTCGTTCACATTCTATTAATATTGCGTGCTTTCATTACCAATATTAATATAATGTGTGAACGAAACTAGTGAACGAAAACAGTGAACGAGAGAACACTATTATATTATTATTACCGCGGGCGCACGCACTATCATATAAAATATGCCCGCGAGTGAAGGTAGTAAGAACGTAACCATGAACTGTGGGGGCTCATAATATAAGTGAATTCATGCCCCCACACAATAATACTATATTCATAAGGGAATAAGTGAATTACAAGGAAGCATTAATGGGGCCTTTAACACTATTTTTAACGTAACGCTCACTGCGCTCTCTTTATGGAAAGAACTACATGACAGGTTAAAAGAGGTGAGTACGAAGTCAATTCACTTAACTGGACAGGAAGTCTATTGTCAAGGAACTAATTGGCTTGGTAACAACCGGTCTAGCTCACGGGCTAATATTAATATTATTGTGTCGCCCGTGTACTTTTTGTAATCTCTTCACTCACTGTTTTCGTTCGCGCGTGTTTCGTTCATACAATTATAATATTACACGCGTAAACTTGCCATAATATTAAAATTGTATTCTCTTCACGTAATGTTTCCTAGAGACGAAATAAATATGAAAACTAAAGAATGAAAGCAAGCGTACAAAGATCTTATTGCGTGCTCCCTTTCTATCTTCACGTACACTTTCCTCACTTCGTGCTCACTGCCTTCGTTCACTAAATTCACGCGTGTGCGAATGCAACAAGTGAACGAACAAGGGCCCAAAAACCCTATTAATTAATAAAATTCGTGCGTTTTCAGTAGTCTTTAGGCCGCGATGTGCCAGTTTTGCAGTGACGGCCGAGGAGGTGAACCAAAAGGTGTATGGGCGAGCTGGGAACCGCTCTTGGTCACATACTCCCATGCATTTTGCGCCAAATGTGGGCCGTGCCAAGTGTGGGCACTCAGAATTCACATGTGTTGTATGCCTTTTAGGTGGTCCTGGTCATGTTTGCCGGCACATGAATGCGTCTTGTTAGTCTTGTTCTCATGCCAATGTGGGCCGTGCCAAATGTGGGCACTCGGCATTCATCGCATGTGTTGTATGCCCTTAGATGTTTTGGCCCCATGCCCAGGATCATTGCGGAATGCTTTTCTCTCGGTCTTCGTCGCACGTGTTGTATGTCCCTAACTTACGCCTGTCCGGGCATGGTTCAGTGGCAACGCTTGTTTCCGCACCCCCCCCTTTTACATCCCAAACCAATGTGGGCCGTGCCAATGTGGACTTGGTGCTAGAGTCTGCTAGAGGCATGTGCTCTACGCCCTCCAGTTCTTAGCGCAAATGTGTGCCGCGGCTCATGTGAGCCTGGGTCATGTCCTGTGCTGCATGGCTTTCGCCTGAGTTCACGCATACACGACTGTCATGTTCGTCGTGGTGCTGCGCTCGTTGCAATTTTGCTCAGGATGGCGGTAGCTGATAGCACTGCAGTGTTCAAGGCCCGGGCATTGGCAGGCCTTGTAAGCGATGATTATGACAAGTTCAAATCTGCAGGCCTCGACACGATGGCGCTGTTCGCCTTCTCCTGCAACTATGTGAAAAACCTCTCACTGATCTCATCGCCAAACTTTTGGGGGGTGTGCCCACTCGCC